TCCTCCTCATCAGCATGGGAGTGCAGCAGCCTCTCAGCTTCCTCGCTGCACTAGAATTGATGACATTGATGGGGCCATGAACCAGTTGTGCAGTGCCTTCCCTGAGGCTGTTCTGCATCCTCAGGACCAAAGTCTGACACATCCAGACACAGACACAGAGATCATTCAGGGTGCTGCTCTCTGCAGCCTGTACCAGCCACCACCTGCTCTGGAATATTCTCTGCAGCCTTTGGCAGAGCCAGGGCAGCACAGGGTCCAAGAGACACTGTTGTCATTGGGAAAGTTCTGCCCATACCTCAGGCAGTATGTCACCCATGCCCACTGAGGTAGGGATAGTGTCTCCTGTGGAGAAGATGGAGGGGACAACACAGGGTAATTGCAGCCATTTTCCCCCCTCACTGGGCCACTGTCAACTGTCCAGGAGTTCCTCCTGCCTGGCTGCTGGCTTCTGGAGACTCTCTGGAGAGAGTGATGACACACTGCAGATAGTCCCATTCACTCTGTTCAGAGAACCTAATAGATCTTATCAGTGTTCTGCAGAGTGGGCGCAATGGATTTCTTAGTATCCATCACAGGATACAGCCCAGGCAGAACTGGTGGTGATAGGGCAGAGCAGAAGCTGTGTCATTCTGAGTGCCCTGGCAGACTGAGTGTGATAGTTTGGCATTTAGGGGAAAAAGTGGGAAATATTCCTGTTTGTTTTCATGGCCATTTCTGTGCCATGAAGCATGCTGGGTGGAGCTGAGGACCAAAAGCTGCTCCCCCTTGTTGTCACACAGACCAGTGTGTGACTATATGAGAGCCCTCCTGATTGTCCCAGGCAAGGGAAGAACAAACACCCAGCCCTGTCAAGAAGGACACCATCTGGGGTGCCTGAACCCAATCATCCATCCCACTCTAGAGGGGTGTTTTCCTGCACAGCCAGCCTTCACTGCTGCAAACATCTGTGGTACCCCAGTGACTAAGCCAGGCAAGGCCAGTACTGATGGCTGCAGAATGAGCACCAAAAGCTGCCAAAAGCAGCCCCCAGTACACCACCCAGCACTGCGAGAAGCCTGGCTAGACCTTCCAGACCTTGCTCAGCAGGAGTCGAGCCTGGAGCCAAACTGGCTTCAGTTCTGTCAGTGCACAAATACATTTAACGAGAGATGTGATGTCACAATCCGTCCCCCAATGATGTTACAATCTGACACTTGGGATGTCACCTTCTACTACTCAGTGATGACATCATGGGATGCTCCCCCCGGAGCTGCATGGTGCCAGGAGAAAAATTAAGGACCAACTGTTGACTGATGGTCACCTTGTCAACTAGATGATGACACCAAGTGCCACATCCAGCTGTTTCTTGAACACCCTCAGGGATAGTGACTCCACCATCATCCTGGGCAGTCTGTTCCAATGTTTAACAACCATTTCCATTGAGAAATTCTTCTTGAACTTATCCTGGAACAGCTTGATGCTATGTCTTCTGGTCTGTCACTGGTACCCTGGGGAAGAACTCAGCCCCATCTTGCTACAGTCTCCTTTCAGTTAGTTGTAGAGAGTGATAAAGTCTCTTAACACTTTATCATGTCTGGCTAACCCAGCAGCCTTCTACAACACGATGACTGCATCAGTGGAAAAACGAGAAGTCACAGAAGTCATCTACCTGGACTTTTGTTAGGCCATTGACACAGTCCTCTTCAGTATTCTTGCAGCTAAATTGGAGACACATGAGTTTAATGAATGAAGTAGTCAATGTATAAGTAATTGGCTGGATGGCCGCATTGAAAGAGTTACGGTCAATGTCTCAATGTTCAAGTGGAAATCAGTAGCATGATCTATATTCCTGTGAACAAGAAATAGGAAAATAAGGAACATCCAGGACTCACTTGAAAATGTTAGAAAGAACCACTCTCTTAAAGCATGAAGTATTGATTTAGAATTTGCTCTTGTCCTCAGCTTTCCAAATCACAAAATTTCTTGAGATTTAGGATTTGCACTCTACTAGTGTAAAAGAGAGTTGTAATACTAGCCTTTGAAAATGTAAAATCCAGTCCCTCACAAATTCTGTAGAGGTAACTGCCCTGACCTGGTCAAGGGCCTCCACTTACAACATCTAAACTTTTACAGCAGAAGGATGAAAATCTGTTTTCATAAGCTCCTAAATTATTGCTAATCTCTCTAATTACTCTCTAGTTGCTAATGTCAGTTGTTTCTTACCTGCCTAGTACAGAAAAATTAAACCACAAAAACCCCATAATTCATTGTTCTGCTGTTACTTGGCTCCCAGTAGAAGGGCATAAACTAGTGCTTATTTAGCCTGGGAATAAAAGTTCTACCATTTGTATAAACAGGCAGATGTCTTTTTAGGCACAAAGTTGTTCTACAAAATAAATTTTAAGGATCTATGTCAAAATCAGCCAAAGCAGAAGTTAACATATACAGATTGTAGATATAGAAAAATTGTGTTAAATTAAAAAGATTTTTTTTTATTTGGGGCTTTTAAAAAAAAATTTCTGAGAAAGAGTAAGGCTACTTTGCATCACGGAACAACTGAGCTTGAGGTTAAAAACAAATGTGAAAAAGCTAGCTTATACCAAACTTCCATTCTGATCGAAAGGAATTTAGAATGGTTTATACAGCAGTTAAGTGGGATTTCGATATCTGATTAGCATCAAGACTGCATGTTCATCTCAAAAGGAAAATTTGTAATTGAATTTGTTTGAAAAGTACTGAAACACATGACTTTGGAATGGTGTGAGTGACTATATCTATCATACCCATTTGGAAGTGGGATCTCTCCCTAATGAACACCCCATAATATGGAACACCTTGGGAGGCCAAGACTAATTTTTTTGCCATCCAAAATTAAACATTTATTTGGATTGCCCCAAATATTTCAAGGTTGAAACAAAATTTCTTTTTACTTCAGAGGAAGTGCAAAAAAATGGTTGTAACTCCCTTCTGAGGGAAAGAAACAGTCCAATATGCCAACTGGACCCATCCCACAGGGAATGAAAGTGGATGTGCCACTTGGGGATACAGTGTAGGAGCGGTCATAGTGGTGCTCTGTTGATGATTAGACTAGATGACCTTGAAAGTCTCATTTAACCTTGATCATTCTGTATAATTCTGTGTGATTTATCAGAAAGCTGCATTTTTAATCAGAAAAAAACACCACTGAGAAATACTTCATCTGTTACAGCACAACTTTGATCTTCTCAAGTAGAGCATTGTTATGGAGTTCAGGCTAAGAATGAGAGCATTTGAGCTTTTCTTGCTAGGGCCAGCAGAGAGCACAAGGTCAGTTGGTATCACAGCAGAACTGGGCTTTGGAGTGGGTCACTCTCTCCTCTAGTTTGTGGCACTTTGCTTTTTCCTGGGGTGATAGTGACATCTACCCTCTGCGCTGTACATTTGCTCCCATTATTCCCTGTGTAAGGCTACTGGCCAGGTGAACTCACCTCCTCTGGGAACATGTTCCTGCCATCCAGGGCAATACTTTGGGCTGAGTCATATCTACAGGTGTCTCTATCAGAATAACCCTGGGGGCTCACAGCACCCCACCTGATCAGTAAAGCCGACAAGGGTCAATGGCCATGAGGATACAGCACAGCAGTCAGGCCTGTTTAGTTATGGTGTTTGCTGCTTGCTAAAAAATAGTTGCAAAGCTACAACTTTTCCAGTGTTTCCCATACACTAGCATTCTCTGTGTTCAGAGCTACCTGTGGCAGGTATTTTGAAGAAATATCAGAAAAAAACATGACATGCTTAATATGGCTTTTCCTTTCCTTCTTTAACTGGCTTTTATATTTTTTCCTGCTCTCTAAAGAGTATCAACCACTATATAAGCTGAATGTGTCTGAAAACACTTTCCAAAGTTTCAGAGAATATTGTGTTTAAACCTTTTTTCCATGTTTTGGGTTTTTATAATTTTGGTTGGTTTTAGGTTTGGTTTTGCTTTGGTTTAATTTTGGGTTTTTTTTAATTTATTTGAAATATACCAGCAGTATGAACAGTGCTTTTGGTATTTCCTACTTTTCCTATTCATAATCTGTTATATCTTTCCCTTTCTTCCTCCTCTCCTCTTAACATACTCATTTTTACATTAATGCATAGGGGCTGCTTTTTTCCCCCTTGCTTAAACTGAACTCTAACTGCATTAAGGAAACTTTACTGTCTGATCTTTTAGGGGCTACCCTTGGCAGTCAGACTCCCACCACCAGAGACCTTAATTTCTGGAATCAAGGCCCCTTTGCTGGTAAGAAGGTATTGTACTCAGCATTATTGGAGTTTTCCTCATCTTGCATGAGGAATGCCTAGCCAATTTTTCACTCATGACTCCTCTATAAGCATGACTGGTGTTTTTTCAGAACTTGTTCTGTCTGTGTGAGAAAGCACTACTACTACTACTACTCTGATGGGACTTGCAGGGCTGGGGAGAGTCCAGGGCCTGAGGGCCTCCTCTCTGGGGGATTACTGGGACACCCATGGAGAGCAACTTATGACATGCTGTGTTGGTCCTAGTATCATGGAGGTAGACATCCCATTGTGATGTTACAGGGTAATGGAAGCAGATCAGTGGTAGTGTGCTGTGACACCACCATGTTGGATTGTCTCATTGTGTCCCATATTGTGTATATTTGGGAGCTACTAGAGCCTGGCTTAGTCTGGATTATGCCTGGACTCCTGTTGAACATGTCCATGAGGTCTGCAGGGTCAAGCCAGGCTTTCCCAGTGCTGCTGGCTGCCATTGGCAGCTTTCAGTACCCATCCAGGTGCCCTCAATAGTGTTTCTCCACCCTTGCCAGGCTCAGGCAGCTGAGCACTGCAGAGGTGAGTTGTGGAGGGAATGTTCCCCTGGGGTGGCCACAGAATGAGAGCTCAGTCCTGGAGGACTGAGAGGGTCCTTCTTGAGGGACCTAAGCGTTTCTTCCTCTCCCTCCCCAGGACAACTAATGACCATAGCATCCCCATTTTGCAGTGTGTGACATCTTTTTGGAGTGCCAGCACCAGCAATGGGGAGCATCTTCTCATTCTTAACACAATCCAGACCACCAAAAGGCATAGACAGGGCCACAGAAACAGAGTGGAACTGTCCCATCTGCCGTGATGCTCGAGATGACCTTGCTTATGTGGTGCCTTGTCTCCATCAGTTCTGCCTGGCCTGCATTATGCGTTGGGCAGAGATGCAAAGGGTGTGCCCACTCTGCAGAGAAGTGATAGAGGCTGTCAGGTTTTCTGTGCAGACAGACAGCTATATAGACTGTGTCTTCACAAGTTCTGAAGAGTCAGCAAATGGCAGCACCAGGACAGCAATAACTCTAGGACAGCTGGTTAAAAACAGCCCCTTTGTGCAGTCCCCTTCACGTACTCCACGGGGGATACTATCCATAGCAGAGCATGGGAGCACAGGAACACAGCCCGTGGGTGGCCTCCCGCCTAGAGCGTGGGCAGAACTTTTCCAAAGAGATGAGCATCTACTTGATCCTGTGGTGCCCTGGCTGCGCCAGGAGCTGGAGGCAAAGTATGGGACTAGGTGGTGGATGGCAAGGATTGCAGAGAGCATCATCCTGCATGCCGTGTCCATCTGTGGTCCAGCTAGGAATGTCTTGGCCCACGTGCTGCAGGACTTCCTTGAGGAACATACAGAACCTCTAATCAATGGCGTCATCAGCATCATTGTGAATGAGTGCACACAAGAGGCCCAAAGGTTGCTACACTCCCGTGCTGTCTCAGAGAACAATCCTGTGTCCCTCTCTAGCAGACTTCAGATGGAAAATACTGCTCCCCACCCAACCCCTGCCAGCACCTCTGCAGCCTCCAGTGAGGAGCTCCAACCTCAGAGCACATCAGAAGCTGTCCTCCACACCCTCCATCCATCTACCCCCATCCCTGCAGAGCAGGAGGAGCTGGGGGAGGAGGCAGTAGCAGAGGAACCTGCCAGGGAGGAGGACAACAGCACTGTGGCCATCTCTGTCAGCCCTCAGGAGGATAATATTGCCCCACAGGCAACCCCTGCCAGAAGCTCTGCAGGATCCAGCATGGAGCAACCCAGCATATCAGAGGCTGTCCTCCACACCCTCTACCCATCGGCTCCTGTCCCTGGAGAGCAGGAGGAGCTGGAGCCAGCAGCAGTGTCAGATCCCTCTGCCCAAGATGACAGGCAAAGCCTCTTCACTCCCAGCCAGGGTAGGGACCCCTTGCCCAGGAGGTCTCAGCGTTCCACAAGGAGGAGGGCTGCCAGCCATCTGGACTCTCCCCAACCTTGCAAGAGGCCACCTGATCAGCAGCAGTAGCAGGGCAGCAGTAAGCCTTTATTAAAGGAAAAAGAAATAAATTTCTATATTCCTGGTAAAGTCTCTAGGTGCTGCTTTCTCTCCCTTCTATCTTTCCCTGATTCTGCACACCCTCATCAGCCAAGGGCCCTGGAGATCTAGGATGATATTGGGAGTACCTCCTCTCACAGGAATTCCTACTGCAGCCACAGCAATTGAAGTGTTTCCAAAAAAAGCCAGGAACAGGAGTATTGCATTTGCAAAGAAGAATGTTCAAAATCAAGGCTGCTTGTGCCTGTGCCCAGATGGCATGACCATGCTGCTCCCTGCATTGCATTTCCATGTGCAACTGAGGGGACAGAAGGGGGTCCTGCAGCTACCTAGTCAGAAAGGTTACTGGGAAAACAGACCATGGAGCTTCAGAGCAAAACTTCTCTGCATTCAAAGACTGCTCTGTAGGGATTACCAGAGCTCTGTGGCTGGCCACAGAATGCTCTTAGAGAAGATTTGCTCTGGCAAAAAGAGAATGGTGGTTTTGAGGCTCCTTGAAGAGCTGCACTTTTCATGGAGGAATGTTGTTCATTGAAGACTCTTCTCAGTTGAGCCCCTGACTGATCCTCAGGAACTGTCCAATGACTTTGTTGGTAGAATTTTTTTTCATGTAGGAAAGGGATAAACTTTTAAAAGAGAAAAAGAGAAAAAGGAATTTTTTTGCTAGGTAAATTACAGCCACAGAAGAAGAAAACTATGATCAGAATCACAGAATCATTAGGTTGGAAGAAACCTTTAAGATCATTGAGTCTACCCCATGCACTAACACCTCAGGTAAATTGTGGCGCTGAGTGCCACATCCAATCTGTTTTTGAACAGTTCCAGGGATGGTGACTCCACCACCTCCCTGGGCAGACAATTTCAGTACTTTATCACCCTTTCTGTAAAAAATCTTTTTAGGAAGGGTATAGAAGCACTAACAGAAGCATATACAACTAAGGCAGACATGTCTAGCATGTCAATTTACTATTGTCTCCTAAACAAAAATGATGCCTCTAACTATTTTATGCACACAATGAGGAACTAGAATACTCAGTTATTGGAATCTCAGGTATTGAAATACTGGCAGCTCTACAGAATGGGTTAGATTTCACAGAAACCTCATGCGCTTCAGTGAAAATCATTTAGGAAAGCAGGAAAAGGAAAGCATTCATTTTTCTCTATTGATGCAGATGGCTTAAAAAGAAACACAGATGAGGCAGTAAGCTTGACATCAAGTAAGCATATTTGTAGAGAAGTGTATCCAATTCCTGATAGGATGACAGCAACAAGTAGAGTAACTTTTCAAGTCAATTGGGCTAGATCGTGGAAGAGCTACTCCTAAACCCAGCTGTTTCCTCAGGCAGTCCACCCAGACACTGGAGAAAGATCAATGTCTTAGTGATGATGACACAAACAGACCAGAAGATACATAAGTCTAGTCAGAGTACATAGAATTAGTAACAGTGATTGATGGTATTAAAAATATTGCTTCCCTCTGTTAGAGAAATTATTTTTTAAATAAACCAGGTTAAACCAGAGTAAAGAATAATATTAAAGAGTTATGTCATCAACCTGTAGAGAATGATAAAGGAGAGCAAGTCAGTATAAATCCTAAATAACTTCACTTTAGTAGAAAAGTAGGAATGGAAAACATGCTGCCTTCACTGACTGGAAATTCCAATGATTCACTTGGAGCAACTGTATGAGCAGTAATACACCTCTCCCCCTCAAGACAAATCAGTTTATTTCTTACAGTTCTGCTTTTTCTTATGTGTATATATTTTCAGGCATAAGTATGTACTTTTTCCACCTGCTGAACAAGAGGCTGGAAAGCAGCACCATGGAAAGGCACCTAGGGGTCCAGGTTGATGTTGAGTTGAACAGGAGCCAGCAGTGCCCCGGCAGCCAGGAGGGCCTGAGGGTGCATGAGGCACAGCATCGCCAGCTGGGCAAGGGAGGGGATTGTCACGCTCTACTCTGCACTGCAAACGTATGTTAAACTGTTACAGGATGTCCAAGTAGGGACATGAGATTGGTGGTGGGCCTTAAGGAGGAGCCCTATGACGAATGGCTGAAGTCACTTGGTTTGTTTAGCCCGGAGAAAAGGAGTCTGAGGGAAGACCTGAACCCAGTCTACAATTTCATTTGTGAGGGGAAGAGGAAGGCCAGGCACTGATCTCTTCTCTGTGAAGACAAGTGAAAAGGCCCAAGGGAATGGCCTGAGGTTGTGTTAGGGGACATTCAGGTTATATGTTAGAAAAAGATTCTTCACACAAAGGGTGTGGGCACTGGAACAGGCTTCTCAGGAAGTGGTCATAGCACCAAGCCTAAAGAAGTTCAGGGAGCATTTGGACAATATGTTTGAGCACATGGCATGACTCTTACGGATGCCCTGTGCAAGGCCAGGAGTTGGACTCAGTGATCCTTGTGGCTTCCTTCCAACGCAGAATATGCTGTGATTCTGTAAATTTATTTTATTGGTAAGGAGTAATCCTGAATATTTTGGTTAAAAATAAATAAGCAAACAAACAAACCAAGAGATGTAATAAGGGTGCAACTCCAAAAGTGACTTTGCCTTTCTCTGAAAAACAGCAACGGCTGTTAACTACGCCAATGGCCCTTTTTAACATGCCTTATTTTCCCAAAGTACCGAAAGCTATTTTTTTATACATGTCAAAACCATGTCCAGAGAAGCTAAACAGGTGTAAAATTGCTTTGCCTGACCTGAACAGCAGAATGCATGGTTGAAATAAATTCCAGAGCCTCCTTCCTTGGAGTGCATCAAGTGGAGAAGGTCAGACCATGGTCATGGCAAGATTTTCCAGGGAAAACAAGGAGGAAGAATGCTGGGGGAGAGTGGGTAGGAGAGGGAAGAAAGATATGAAAACTGCCAGGTAAAGATTATTCTGCTCTTGTGTCAGACAGCATGTCATTGGCAAGTACCCAGGCACGCTCATGAACATACAAAACACACGTCCTGCCATCTGCCAGACCTCCTCCTCCTCTCATTGGGCTGGACGCCAACAACGCGAAATGCAATCCAATGGCATCCCGTACCCTCCTCCCAGTAAAGAGTTATTTTAAAACTTTAGGCATAGTGCTCGGTAGCAACAGTGACCAGGGATAAAAGGGCAAAGAAGACGGGCAACGGAGGGAGCACAGGAGCAAGAGGAGGGGTAAACCCCACCAAAGCTGTTGCAAAACAGCTGCAGCATCAGCGGGGAGATCGGGGACAGGAAGAATGGCTCGGGGTCCGGGAGAGTCGGGGACGGCGTCCGAGCTCCGGCGAAGCGCCTTGCGCCGGGCTCGGCGCCGGCTGCGGGGGTGCCCCGGCCCCGCCTGGCGCTGAGGGCGAGGCCGGGGCCGGTGTTCCCCTCCGGGGAGCGGAGCGGAGCCGGCACGGGAGGCGAGGCCGCAGGAAGTGGGCGCCCGAGGGGGCTGGCGCGGGGGCGGCCCCGCCCGGCCCGGCCGGCGCACCGACAGCAGCCGTCGCTCGCCGACAGCCGCCGTCGATACCCTAGTCGGCAGCCCCGTGTCGCCGTCGATGGTGCTGCCGGGGTCCTGCTGCCCTCTCCAGGGACTCGTCCTGCCGTCCCGGGCGGCGGAGGGCTCGCTGTCCACCACGGGTGCCGGCCTCTCGCTGCCGCCCCTCCGGCCGGGAGCGGCGCCCCGCCGCCGCCCGTGCCCCCCGCTGCCCTTCCACTCGCTGCTCGGGCTGGGGCTGCTGCAGACCGGCCTGGGCTGCGCCCTGGTGGCGCTGAGCTTCGGGGTGCTGTCGCTGAGCAGCGCCCCGCAGGTGAAGAACGCCCTCTGGGCCGGCTCATCGGTAAGTGACGGGCGGGACACGCCGTGCTGGGGTCCGGCCGTGCGTGAGCGGCACCTGCGGGGTCGGCTGTCCCGGGGGATGCGTGATCCCGCTCCTCCGCGATCGCTTGGAAACAGCCTCCGGCTAACGGGGTAGCGGCTTTTCGCTGATAGTTTTGTAGGATGTCCGCAGGACCCCAGCTGGGTAACAAACGTCGAGACTAACAAATAGGGGATTTATTTCCTGGCGCTCATTTTTGAAAAAAAAACCCAAAGAAGTGGAAAAAAAAAAAAAAGTACTTGACTTTTTTTGCCCTATCAGACACAGTATTTTTCAAAAGTCATTGTGTAAGTAGATGTTGCATGTCTGCTTTGTGCCTTTACTCGTAGGTATAATGTAGAGATAAATCAATATTTCTGGGGAAAAAAAGTATGGACTTAGGACAGTTTTGTAAGGAGTACTGAGAGAAATTATTCCATCTCCTGTTGGTCCTTGCTTTAAACCACAGCTTTATAAATGCAGAATATATACAGAAGTTTGTATTGCAGAAGCTAGGCAGTAGTAAGCAGAAGTTAGTAAGTGTAGGAGAGTCCCATTGATTGGCTCGAGTTTGTGGACCTTCCAGCAATCAGCAAGTTGTGTACTGGTATGGAGCACTCAGCTCCTGCTGCCTGTGTGAGCAGTATCAGCTTATCCCTTTCTTTAAACATTTCACTTAAATTGCCAGTGTTGTTCAGCACCTGTGGAAAAGCTCTCAATGCAGTAGTTTGGGGATCAAGTAGTTCCTGTTTATCTGTATAATGCAGTATTCATCCCTGAAAGTACACAGTCCTTGGGAGTTGAGGGGAAATCCAGACCATCCAAATGTCTGTGTTTGGTATCTCTTTTGTGATCTTACTCTAGATTAAAAGAAGTTTAAATATATGTAACCAATGGACTTCCTTTGAATTCTGTACACAGTATCATGTTTATGCTTTTAAAATGCTTTAAAGTTGTACATGTAATAGAGAAATTCAGTATTTTTAATAATCAAGAAAGATGTTGGTTTTTTGGGGGTTTTTAAATTATATTTCTGAAGCAATAGTACACTCAGAAAAGTTACCAAAATACCATTTGGGTGTAAAAACATAAGTCAAAATCGTAGCCCAGAAGCAACCTGGAAAAGCAGATGCTATCAAAAGCTGACTGATGTGTCTGGTTGGGTGCTTTTTGGTTTGGTTTTCTCTTCATTATGGATGCAACATGCTGACTTGTGAGGGGCATGTCAGGAAAATTTTGAGAACAGCTTCCTTTTCTTACCTTTAACAGATGCAATGAAATAAATTAGTTGTCCTTAAGGAAAAAAAAAAATACATCAGTATTGATGTGCTTTGTTATAAAATCATGTGTCCATTTTGCAGTCAGAGAATTCAAAAAATACTTTGTTATGAAACTGCAGAGTTATGTATGTGGTTTTGCAACACCAGTGATGATATCAGTAGGTGTTTGGCCAAGTCATATATGCATGTTACGCTAGATTAGAATGATCATGTCAAGTGAATGAAGTTACAGAAGGGATTTATTAAAAATACTAGTGGATGACTTCCTGCTTGTTCCAGTCTTCCTGGTTTTTTGTCGGGTAGGATCTTGATGTCCACTGGCTTAGTCACAAAGTCCAATGAGTTAAAAGTATATCTGCTGATCTATGGGACATGCTGAGAAATTTATTTACCTTTCTTTATAGAGTTCCTATTCTTCTGTGAGAGAATATTCAGGTATGCTGTTTGTTTCAGTTCTACAGCAATTATTTATAATTTCTTAATTGTTTTGCCCTGTAAGGTAAAGAAAGAATCATAGAGTTCGGTTCTGTGATTCAGCAAGTTTGCTCTAACAACTGCTGTTGCAGAAGGATGTGCTTTTATTTTAACTTCTTTTCTCGCACTGATACTGGCATTCATCTGATTAAATAGCAAAATGTTTCAGGAAGGTAGTGCTGGTGCTCTTTATTAATTTTGGTAGGGTTCATTCTTCAGGTTTTAGCTCACTGAAATGGTCAGAAATCAGCAAAAGGGAAGAAAGAAAGGCAATTAATGAAGTGCTGAGATAGTGATGGGCAGAGGGGATAAAAAGGACAGTTTTTAGATTTGCCTAGCCACGTTTAAGAGAACAAGTACTCCCTTAGTTGAAAGCAGTTATTTAAGGCAAATGTGGAGGTTGGAATTGCTGACATACTGCTTGTCCCCATACATGTTTTCTGGGAGGAAAAAATAAGAAATTAGCAGATTTAATTTGGTTACTGTTTCACAGGATGCTCTTAGGAGCGAAGAACCTCAGCAGCACAGGTATTCTCTGCTTTAAGTGCATCTTTGTATCTTGCAAAGATACAGCATTGCTGTAGTGTTCCAAAGTACAGTAATAAAAACAGTGTAAATGTCATTTTGTGGACAGTTCTTTGCTTCTTGGTGACACTGTGTTTTTTGATGTTGTAGACAATCTTATGTGGAATCTTAGGGTTAACAACATGGAAGAGACCGATGATGCTTTTGGTAAGTATGGATTAAAGTCTGTAAGGAAATAATTAAAAAATTATCCTAATTTAATAGTCACTGGTAAAAAATAATCACCTCTTTCTCCTTTTTTAAAAAAAAAATATTGAGTCTTTCTTTTCAAATTGTAGAATCATAATTATTTAAAGAGAAGTCAAAGACCATGAAAGGCCATATTCTTTCCTGCATGGATGAAGTCCTCAGTAAGAGCAAGAACGGACCATGTCTGGATGATTTGTTAATATTATTTGAAGCACACATTTTATATTTTTGTATGTATAAGAAAGTGCTGGCTTAGAATAAGTAATACAGCTCTCCGAGACAGTGCAGCTTAAACTGAAATAAAGGAGATGGTTTTAAATCTTAGCTTAGTTGTAGTGTTTTAGTTTTTGACAATGGGTTTGAGAGCTAACTTAACACCTTACAGCAGGTTCCAGTGCTAATTTCATATACAGTTGACATGGCATTACTGTGAGAGAAGATTGATGTGCAGCGTGTGTAAGCTGTTTCCACCTGTAAGTGAAATCTGAAGCTGTGTGTCTCTTAATATCTCAGAGTTGGGATTTGAAAAAGTGTTTTAGAGTTGCTTTTGTTTTGTGTGTGGGTTTAGGGAGTTTTTTGGTTGGTTGGTTGATTTGGGGTTTTTTTTGTTTATTTGTGTGTAATTTTTTGCCTTACTGTCTCTTCTGAAGACTTTTTTGAGCCAAGGTAGTTGTTTCATTTATCTGCAGCACTCCTTCGGGATCCACATGGGTATCAGTGAGGAGTACCAAGGATTAGATGTGTGAGCTGTGGATAGAATCATAGAATTGTAGATTCTCCAAGGCTGGAAGAGAGATTTGAGATCATCAAGTTCATCTGTCCACAGCACTGCCCCAAACCCCTAAACCACATCACCCAATGCCTCTTGAACACCTCCAGGGATGGTGACTCCCACCACCTCCCTGGCACATCCCATTCCAATGCATGTCTACCCTAACAGTAAAAAAACTTTTTCTAGTAACTGATCTGAATCTCCCTTGCCTCAGCTTCAGGCCATTTCCTCTTGTCCTCTCGCTGCAGGCACCACAGGAGCCATGGGCCCCCACCTCACCACAGCCTCCTTCAGGGGTGTTGTAAAAAGCAATGAGATCCCCCTGAGCCTCCTTTTTTTGAGACTAAACAGCCCCAGCTCCCTCAGCTGTCCCTCATGAGAGATGTTCTTTAGTCCTTTCAGGAGCCTTGTTGCCCTTCTCTGGACAGGCTGCAGCCCCTCAATGTCCCTTTTAAAGTGAGGGGCCAGAACGGAGCACAGACTTGGGGTGAGGCCTCCCCAGTGTCCAGCACAGGGGCACGATCACTGCTCTCATCCTGCTGGCCACACTGCTCTTGACACAGGCCAGGATGCCACTGGCCTTCTTGGCCACCTGGGCACACTGCTGGTTCATGTTCAGCCAGCTGTCAACCACCCAACATCCATTGTTATTTCGAAGTGTGCATTGGTTAACACAGGCAGATTTTTCAGGAGTTTTGTATATTTTGTTTCTTCTCAGAGAGAAGTCTGGTGTTAGAGACTCCCAATCTAGAAGAGCCATGTTTTCATCAAGATAAATGTACATGATAGCATGTACATCAGTCTCAAACTGCCTAAGACTTGCACAGCACTCCTGTGTCAGTATTCTTTGTGTTCTGGGCTGTTTCTATAGAATGTTGTTGCTCTTTCACTCTTTAATGTTCTCCTTTGTACAAAACTGATCTTCCTTTCCTTATTTTACTTAAATTGAAAGTACAAACTCTTCTTGATCCCTTCTTTTATTTCGAATGATCTTTAGGATGGCCACATGCTGAAGGAGATTGCCCTGGGATATTGCACAGCAGATGGGAAAGTTTCTGATGTGAAATTGATAAAAGCTCTGAGCAGCCTGCCATGATTTCATAGCTGACCCTGCCTTTGAGCAGGAGATTACAGAGGAATCTTCCTCAGCTCTCTAATAGCCACAATTATTCTGTTCTGTGATTATGTGATTCTATAAAAAACCGTTTGGGTTTTTTTCTTATTTATATGTGTGTTCTATAGAGGTCTGATTTTTGATAGCCAAATTAGCTCAGCCATGACATTGGGAAGCATTTCTGCTAAAAAAGCAGTGAAAACCTGGAACAGGCTCCTAGAGATGTGATTGATGCCTTAAGCTGTCAGTGTTCAAGAGGCATTTGGACAATGCACTTGATACTGGGCTTTGATTTTTGGTGAGCTCTGAAGTGATCAGGCAGTTGAACTAAATGATTGTTTTAGGTCCCTTCCAACTGAAATATTCTATTCTACGTGGAAAAATAAAAACACAAATAAACATTAAACTCTTCTTGAGGGTAAGGAAATAATACCTTAAACTATCTACAGTCTTTCAAGGATGGATTGTTGGTTTCTGTGAGCATATTTGGGCTAAATGTCTATTGTGTCTACCCCCTAGTAACTTGAACCTTTTTGTCTAGGGAGTTATGAAGAGTGCACAATTACATGAATTATAAAAGCAAGCTTCCTAAATGTCTCATCAGTGAGAATCATTACACAGTAGTGGCTTGGAATTATGGCATTCATAAGCAAAACTAAAAAACTTGTTCAGAACTAAAATTCATATCCTTTTGTCAGTTGTGACTGTCCTCCCCTTTTAATTCCTCATGTATGGCCTTAGCACTCCCCGTGATGGTTTCTCACTATCTGTGTTTGGGTTTTTGTGAAGAGTCAGGCTGTTATGACTGCCACTTCTGTCCAAGGCCTTGGTCATGGAGGAAAATACCCAGACTCAGTTTTTTTTCTGTGACAGCAAGATTCTGGTGCTGCTGATGCTTGCAGTAAGCACAAGGCTGCAATGCTGTGAGAAAGGAGCTGGGGATGGGCTGTGGTGTTTCAGCCACTCATGTTTTCACTTGGAGGGGAGAAAGGAATGGAAACACATTGGCTACAGATACATTGGACCTTTAGTAACACCATCTGTGAAAAAACAGCCATGAAGAGGGATGGCTGTGATAAGACCTTTTAGTAAATAAAATGGAGAGTTGTTATTTGGGTTTTGCCACCTGCACTGTTTTACAGCTGTATTAAGTGTGGGATGATGCCAGATAAGTATTATATCTGAGAGACAGGGTACTACAAGGCAAAATCAAGCTATGGTCATATCTTTTGAAGGACATTTATGCAAGGGAGGCCTAGTCTTGAGCAGTAAAGCTGCTGAGAAAGTCTGGGTTCTGAAATCCTTCCTTGGTTTTACATGTTTGAGAAATTTCTGTCCTGGATATCTTGTCAATCAGTTTTGGAAGTCAGCTTGTAATGCTTGTGCTTTGAAGCTGATTTTTCTTTGAGGAAATGCTGAGTTAACACTGGACTCAATGATCTCGGATATATTAACAATCCTGTGTTTCTTCTTTAGGACTGTCCAAATGTATTAATGGGGAAAGGGGAACTCACCACTGCCACCACCTACCCCTCGAAGTCACTTGGATATTGGCTCTGAACCATTCTGGGCTCAGTGTTACCTTTCATGCATAGAAGAATCTGGTTCCTTCCTTTCTGCTGCTAAGCTTCTCCTTTTCACACAGTTTTAAATCTTAGTTTTACTGGAAGGAACCTAAATTATTTCAGAAAGTACATCATTGTTAGTTTGATTGTGAATGTTTTAAGGGCAGCTCATGTCTTTCACAGGTGATGCTTGCTGTTATAGCCTCTGCCCTTGTATGCCTGATTGGACTAATTTGAGTTTATGTTGCATTCCCAGGAGTTGCCAGGAGCTGTACATGCTTTGCTAGATGCAGAAGCCCTTAGCTAGTGAAGTATCCTTTCCTTTCAGTTGCACATAAATTAGTTGCAATCCTATAGAGTGCTTTTTAGGTGATCCTCTGATTATGTTTGTTTCTGGTTTTGGGTTTTTTTTCACTGACTGAGTCTAAGACTTCAAGTTAAGCATCTCTTTCGTGTCTGCTTGTTGCTTGTGTTCTGCTGCTAAAGAGGAGACTTAGCTGTGATCAGATGAAAAGGAAAGGAGTGCTAGCATCCAACAAGACATCAGCCTATTGTGCTGTGCAGAGTTGAGCTGCTGCAGCTGCAAGTACTGGGGAGCAGTTTGGTACCTGCGAAATGCACGGGATCAAGAAGTCAACAGAACACATGCAGGCTGACTCTGTCTTGAATGTGACTCCAGCTTTTGGCTACATCAAGTACTGCATGCTTCTGTTATTTGCTTGTGTGGCAGCTTTTGTGTTCATACGTGTCATTGTTTTCATGTAAAGCTCTGGGGGGCTTGACAGACAAAGCAGAGTTGCATGTGCAGCATGGGTCATTCAGTCTGGATTCTTCTCATGTTTTACAGGGTGGTCACAAAATGATTTGAAATTTTTACTTGAAACACTTTTAATTTAAACATGTTAATATTTTTGGTTTATGACAAATATTTACAGATCTTACTTTGAAAACAGAAAAGTTTGTAGAAGTTGGCCTTTATTTATGACCTAGAAATTTTTGAAGAATATATTTGTGGTAAACCATGTATTTAATTGAAAATTTTTATCCAAAGAAAAATATGTTTGAGAAAACTTAAATAAAGATTTCTTAGGGCTGACTTCTGCTATGATATCTGCACCTTGACAGATTTTCATGAATTTAACTAAAATTTAATGTATAGATCAAGATAACTCATTCCAGTAATGTTCTTAAACTTTAGGCCTGCTAGTAGCAGTGAACTGTGAACAGAAGCTCTGTATCCTGTCCCTAGCCCTGAAACACTTTCTCCCTAGGCATGTGTTTTATGACAAGCAGTCATTTTACTTGTGAGAATTACTGTAGTAGTATCTTTTTTCCCTTGATTTTAGAAGTAAAATAGCTCAGTGTTAACCTCTTTGCTTACACTCCAGACTGCAGCATTAAGCCAATAAACAGTAATTATGCAAAGGTTTTAAAGTCAGTATAAGCAAATAGAAATAGACTTTTAAAAGTGAGAGTATGAAAAGCCATTAGAAGCTTATAGCTGTTTTTATGCTGGAAAAGCTTTTCTCTCATACATGGGGTGTTTTAGTGCTGCATTTGAAATATGTGACTTTTTAATTAAATTAATTCATTTGTCTCTTCTTGCAGGGCTTTCCTTTGTTGGCAGTTGTGTTGTGGGTCTTTGTATGGTAGAATAAGTAGCTCTCACAACTGACTGAAATCTTATAAGGTCATGTGAGTTTTAATTATAGCTATTGCTGCTGTGCCTATGGACAATTAATAAATGGACATACTCTTTTCTACAGGATGTTTATAAAGAATATATGTAGGTTGTAAATGGATATAAGAGTTGCTGATTTTGAAACAACTGTTTTTTCTTTCATTTAAGTGTCTGCTTGGGCATCAGTCCTGCATGTGCATATTCAAGTGAAAGCAGTTCCTCTCTTGAATTAGATACTTGCTTCAATGGCAGCAGCAGCAGGACAACAAGGAGCTTTCCTGTGCAGAATGAAAGACAGTGTCAGTGCTTTACTATGCATATTTATTCTTTCCTTGAAAGGCATAATGATACTTTTCTACTTGAAAGAGTTCATACATTCAGGACAGTAGCAAATATAAGTAGATAAATTTTGTATAGTTTAATTCATATGAAGCTTCCTCACGGCTTTCTGCAGCTGTTCACAGTCCATGTGTATCTAATGCTCTGAAGATGAAGCTCTGAGCCAAACTAAGGCCATAATTTGAGTTGTTTCCATTTTTATAACTGCAGTCAAAACCAGTTACATCTGTTTAATTTTTGAAATACCATGTTTGCCTTTCTCTGTTTTTATCTAAAATGAGAAGTACTTCTCTCCTCTGGGTAGGATCTTCTGTGACTGGGATTAAGTATAACCCCTGTTTTTACTTGCAGAAGAGTAGAGAAGATGTTTAAATTTGCATCTGCAGGAGGATATAAGTAACAAAATAAGCTGACAGAATACCTGTGAGATTGGACAGTGAGTGACTGAATAACTGGGCACAGAGGGTTGGGATCAGTGGTGATAGCCAAGCTTGCCAAGGGCCAGAGGTGAGTCTGAGGGGTGGAAACTGAGGGGCCAGTGCTACTGAAGCAAGTGCTCTGCACAGTGGATCTGAGTGACTCTCAGCACAGGCGATGCCAAACTGAGAGGAATGGCTGATATGCTAAATATTGCCATTCAGAAGGACCTGGACAGGCTGAAGAGTACACTGAGAGGAATCTCTTGAAATCCAACAATGGGGAATGCAAAGTCATACTTGCACAGGGAAGTTATCCTATTACACAGAAGGGAGCAACCTGGTGGAAAGCAGCTCTGCAGAGAAAAACCTGGGGATCCTGGTGGACAACAGGCTGCCCATGAGACAGCAAAGTGCTCTTGTGGCAAAGAGGACTAGTGGTGTCCTGGGCTGGATTAGGCAGAGACTTGCCAATAGGTCAAGAGATGTGATCCTTCCCACACCTGGAGAGGTGTGAAAGCTGTGGCAGTTCAGCCTGGAGAGGAGGAGGCTCAGTGGGAATCTCCTGCATATCTAAATAGCTGATGGGAGGGAATGAAGATTAGGGAGCTGGACCTTTTTCAGTAGTGCTCACTGCCAGGACAAGAGGGTGTGAGCAGAACTGAGAAAATAGGAAATTCCATCCGAACATAGAAGACAACTTTTTAATGTTATGATGATCAAAAACTGGTGTAGGTTACCTGTAGAGATAGTCAAAACTAACTGGACACTATATTCAACAGTTTGCTGTAGGTCATAAAATCATAGAATGGTCTGGGTTAGAAGGCATCTTATGGTTCCAGCTCCCTTGTTGTGATAACGGCTTGAGCGAAAGATGAGATTTAGATGGTCTCAAGAGGTCCCTTCCGATCTTAGTGATTGTGTAAAAATTCTCACCAGTGATGGAGAAAAAAGAACAAAGATCTTTTTATCTTGACAGTTAAGTACAACATCTTGTCCACTGTCGGATGTGTGTCAGAGAATTTGTGGTTATGGTTCAGATCATGGTAGTGTTTTAGATTGTATGTAGAGGAATATTTTTTATCTTCTGATCATTTGGCAGGATTTTACTCAATCAAAAATACACTATACATACAAAAAACAGATCAAGATTATACTTGCTCCTCGTAGAATTTATTAGAACATAAATGCAGAAATTATCATCCTTTCACATATTTATGATAATACTCCTTCTCTTCCTCTTTGTTCTTTGATTTCTGACACTTCTTTAGAAAAATATTAATGATTTTTTTGTTTTTCAAAATTTTGGATTGGAAGTCTGGATTTTAACTGTAACTTTTTTGTATAGCTGTAGATGGAATTGTTTCTATTGCAGCTTCTGTACCTAAGGAGACAACTTAAATGTGAGTTTACTAGTTCTTTTTGGTTTTTAAAAAATCTTTCTTTACTTTGGCCAGGTAAATTTTTCCCATTTATTCATCAGTTGAAAAAGGACAAATACACCTCTTGTTTTTCTTGACAAGAAATTCCATGAGATTTGTGCTATAAAGATGTTTTATGTTCAAACTGCTTCTATTTCACTTACTGGCTATTTCCTAATTGTTGGTGCCCTATGTTGAACCCAGTTGAAAAGTTTTCTTTACATTAAATACCTGTGTGTAGCAATATTTTTTCTCAAAGTAGTTTTTTTGCTGGAAAAGTAACTAAGGTAATTTAGGTAAAAGCATAAGGAATGGGTTTGATTCTGTTACATGCTGAGCAGGGAGTTAATTTTTTTTAAATTGTTAAATTCTGTTTGTATGGAAAAACAAATGGCACTCCGAGTGCTTTCTAGAACTAAAACCCTATTTTCTGTGGTTTTGTGATTAGTACAAAGCTAAGACAAATTACTCTTTCTCTTAATAATTTATAAATTATTTTGTTCTTAGTATATCTAACACAAAGTAGTCTCAGTCCTCTTCAGAGATTTATTAATAACTACTAATAAACAAGTTATTGGGGTTTTGGGGTTAAAGTCTACCTTATGGGATAATGTCATGGTCAAACGAGTAATGACTACTAATGTTGTAATTGAAGAATTTAGCTTGCACAGTAATGCTCTTTGGCTCTTGTCCATTCATGGGGGATTATTTCCCTGAACCTCAGAAAATGGGAACATAATTTGTGCAACAGCTGTTACCTTTTTCTGCTTCAGATTCCAGGTAGCTAACCATGGTACTTCAGCTGAAAGTATTCAGAAGGCCATGGTGCTCTTTGCATGTTTAGGAAGTCCTTGTTGCTGGATCTCCTGTAAAACTGTCTGGAGCAGAACTGAACTCGCATCCTTCATAATGTCCTTCTCTTCCTCTGCTTCTTTTCATGTCCTGATTTTTTAATTTGGACCATTTTGATACAAAGAGACCTGAATGAGCAGATTGTTATTGAAAAGAATGCTTTAGAACATTAAGAATCTGATACTTGTTTTGTAGGACTGAATGCTTAAAGGAGGCATCTTATTTTTATTTGTCTCTAAAGTAGTAGTCTTACCCATACTACTTTCTCTTGAAGTACAGAATAGTTTTGCCTGTATGAATAGGGACAAGGATGGTTCTTTCATATATTCAAAATCCATATCCAAAGTCATGTAAACACAGATTGTAAGGGAATATGTGAAAGCAAGACATCGTTTTGTCCGCTGCTTCTGCTTGCCCTTTTTTAATGTATTTATTACTCTTGCCATTGCTCAATTTCAGGTGGTTTATAAATCTGAAAGTATTGTCTGATTTATGAATATTCTGGTTTTAGTAGCCAGGAGGAAATAAAATCATGTGACTGAAGTATCTTAAGTGTTTCAATCCTCACTGTACTGGGACAAATATTTTTCATTTATTTGTGCTGCAAAATAATTCTGGAAATGTTCAGAGTGAATGTTGGCTTAAGATGTTTCTCCCTCTTCAGTTTTCTGTATTTTCTGAATTTATTGAGAGCTAAACTTGGTGGAAGAGTACGACATACAGCAGAAGTTGGGCGACTTGCAGATCATACTTTGCACTCCAGCAAAGCTTTTAATTGCTTGTGCTATTACTACTGATATTTTCAATAGTTGCATATATTTTATTTCTGCATAACTAGTGCAGAATAAGGAGAGGGAAGAGAAAGAATTTTGGGAATAGGTTAAGACACCTCAGGCACTGAAATAATGGTCAGTTTTGAAAAAACAGAGTCATTCCCAGCTTCAGTTTGTGTGTGGGATTTGCTCTGTGATAGGTTCCTTGAGTTGGGTTCCTGTGCACTTAATTTTGTTTTGATGTTCCAGGTTAACCTGTTTGTTCTGCTGTCTATGATCAGTGTCATGCTGAACGTGATTGGATTAATACTAGGATGTGAAGGCATTCAGTTTGTGTCTGGGGTACCCAGGTGTGATTTGGTGAGCACACATACTGATTTACACTGATTTCTTCTCATTATGGCATATTAGCTTGCTGTGCTAAGATCACAAAACGTCCTGATGTAGAGTTGCAAGTAATTTAAGAACTGGCATAAAGAATTTTTGTAGTAATGTAAAAAAAATTAACTGTTGAAAAAAGCCTGAATGTGCGTAATGGTGAGCTACCCACAAAATGTTCAGTCTGTTATAATCTCTTGGTGGGATTGTTTTCCTCTTTTGCCTCACCTGGTGGGGACCATTGTGTGATTCCTTACAGCAGAACCTGTGAGCTAAAAACCAAGGTAGATCAAATCATACTAGCTTTTCAGAAGACTTCTACTTGAGGAAGATGCAATCTGTACAAGGCAGGGCAGAATGCAAAAGATTTTTCTCAAGTGGTTGTCATGAGAAATAGAAGAATCACTGTTTATGAACTCGAAACTGTGGAATAATTGAAATATAAGGATACAATACAGGGTCACTTGGTGATGAAGATAATTGTGTGTAAAAGCTTGAAGGACTTTGTGGTTTAATGGAAAGATCTTTGAATATCTATTTTCATTCATTTACTCTTTCAAGAAAGCTATTGTTGGTTCCTTGACATGCCAGTAGGTGTATTGTAGTGAGAGTCCAAGATTATAAACACTTGGCAATCTGTAGTCACCCAGTATCACTGTACCAAAGCCACAATGAGAATTAATGATATTCCAGATGAGGTGGTCAAATGTTGCAGGAGTTTCTGACCTGTCTATAGTTGGAAGTATGGATACAGCAAAAACACATTCCTGAAGTCATTAATTATTTTGTAGGGTGGCTTCTGTAGGTGGAAGAATGTCAACATTGTGACTCTAGAATTTGAAAGCTAAATACACAATTATTCCTAAATATGGAGACTTTGAATTTCTACTTTGAAAAGTAAGATGATAAGATTAATTTGAACGTGAAAGTTACTAACAACAGTGAACTACAGATATGGCTACTAATGATTTGACTGGGTTGAAATGATAGCTGTGGGCTTCATTCCACCCATAGAAATGCAAGATGTATTCCTGAACCATAGAAAATGTGTACAGTTCATATAGAGTGGTTTCCACAACAATCAGAGAAATAATTTCTAGGCTATTATGCATTGGAAAGAGCATAGCTAATAAAATTGCTTAGTAATCAGTGCAGCTTTGCTTACAACTAAGTTGTGTCTAAATGTGTTAATGCATTACCCATGCTTTCTCTCAAATAAGAAATACATAGTACAGCTTTATAATGTAGGAATCACTGAGATACCAAACTGTTCAATTATATGACCCTGTATTTCCAGTCTGCTTTGTGGCCATGGGTTTAGTTTAAGACATAGGTTCTATATTATGCAGGTAAAAATATTGCATAAAATAATTTAAAAAGTAGAGTTTTGTTTCTTCAAGATGGATGAAAACAAGACCTGTTTATGCTGTGAAGAACCTCATCCCAGTGCATGCACAGAAGTAGAGGCTGTACTGAAGCTATACCATGTGAAGTCATGTGGTGCTGCTCACCTTCTTCTCAAGGTACCCTGCACACACAGCAGCAGCAGCACTGCCTTTATAATGCCCATGCTTGTGCAGCAGTGCAGTGCTGAAGTGATTGCTGTGTTTACTGGGAAAAACTCTTTTATTTTTCTGGTCTTCCACACTGGTCAGAAGCTCTTCATAGTTCTGTAACGTGGGGGGATTTTTTAATGTCTGGGTTTTGACCAGTGCATTGCTGAGCCAATAAGCATTTCTTGCTTGTTTTTTTGTGTTTAGTGCAACCAAAACTGCAGTTGAATCCTGACAAGATTACAAGGGTGAATAAGACCTAAATTTTAGCTAATTATTTGATGCCTTTGTTAGTCTTTTGCACTTCTCAGCCTTTTGTGGCTTACAAGCTGCTCAAATCAAAGTCACAACCAACACCATCTTCAAATATCAAAAAGCTTTGATGTTTCTTTAATGGGGATCATCTTGAATCTAGAGTTCCCACTGCAAAGTTATGAGGAAGGTTATAATTCTTGGATTAATAGATGGATAAATCATATCTGAGCTGTATTAAACCTTCTGGATCTTTCTGTCAGGACAATAAATAGTGTAAAACAGGTTTTTGCAAATTACTCTAGTCTTGGAGATTGTGCCGAAGACTTCATCCCATACATTTCTTAGAAGTAATTGCCATGGTAATCTCCTCTGTATTTGTTTTTATTTTGTAGCACTATCATTATTATTATTATTATTATTATTATTATTATTATTATTATTATTATTATTTTGACATTTACAAATACCATGATTTAATAGTTTCATTTCAATGATCTTCATGTTCTTCAGAAAGCTCTCTTAGCTCTTAGTGCCCTGAATGCTCTCGCCGCTACAGTTTGCTTCATAGCGTCTGCCCTGCATTACTTGCAGATACTTGCATCAAGAAGATCCTGCACAGTAAGTGAGCACAAGGCATTGTCTGCCATAAAGACTGGTACAAGCAGTATTAATAGATTATACTGTTCAGCAATATTTATAGCTCAGAAGGATTTTAACAGAAATTTGTTTGATCAGGGTGAATCTGAGGTTGAAGACGAAGATTATGATTTGGATCCTGATGATTTTGTCCCACCTGTCCCACCTCCCTCCTATTTTGCAACTTTTAATTCTTGTGCCCCACGAACAAGTCACAGGTAAAACTGTACACTCTCTTCCTTTCTTTTACTGTACTTCAAGACATGGCCTAATCTTTTTTTTTTAAGACTATTTTCTCTGGTGAAAAGGTTTGTGATTTTAGGAGGGTTAAAAAAAAAAAAAAAGAACCTATTAGTTTGGAGACAGCATAAATACAATGTGGGCAAGGGAGTAAAATTTTGTGAGTTTGAGTTTAGATTCTCTAGGAACTATTTCTGGGTGAGAGAAATATTAGTGCTCAAAACAGCTGAAAACTTACACGATGCTGTCAAGAGCAGGTGAGGGCGGCAATGGGAAGCCAGACACAATCACTTGGTAAGCCAGAGACCCTGAGTGGTATTCCCCCACGGATCTTCCTCCCAGAGTCATTCTTATTCTCCTTCTTGGGCTGTTAGAGATGACTGAAGGGTGTGTTTTGACTGCAGTACCTGGAAAGGTAATCCCTTACCCTGCAGGTAGTTGCTCTTAAAAGTAACTTGCAGGTTGGCTTTACTAGTTTATGACTCAGGTGGGGCTGCGTTATTCTGTTCTGAATATACAATATTTATACATAAAGTATTGTGATGCTCAAGCAGACTGTATGACTCTTGTTTAAAATTCCTCCTTTTTGCAGTGTGCAGGAATGTTTAGTTTATTTCGCTGTTTCATCAGGAATAGCATGCATGACTTTTAAGACTGTGTTCCTGGCAGAGGTAATTACAGATTGTGGGATGGTCTAGAAAATGGTAAAATGGCACAACAACAGGATTTAGAATGAACAGGTCCTCTGAAAGACCAGAGACTGGAGTTGAATTAAAAATATTACTTAAAACCTCTATGTAAGTTTTGGTTCAAGCTGCTTATGAGAACAGAATGAAACGTGTAATGATCTCTTTGGAAGAATAATTATTTATCTAAACATGCTTTTCAGAGTTCCGCTGCTTTAAAATGGACCTGTTGTTCTTTGTCTAGCATGTCATTCTAGATGGTTATCTCTTTCCCAGCAGCAGGATTTCTTTTTTTCCTTTTTTTTTTTTTTTTTTTTTTCCTTTGGCACAGGTGTGCTGCTGTACGGTATTTAAGGCTTCTGTGGTCTGAAATTGAGTACCCACCTTGCCTGTGACTATGTTAAAACTTGTTGTTGATAGTAACATTTAATGGATGATGGCATCTTTCTGAAGTAAGGCTACTTGTTTTAGGGTAAGTTATGCAGCAGGGCAGAAGTCAAAGTAACACTGTTTCTGTTTTTGGAAGATGAGTAATTATCTCCATCCAGTCAGGGCTGGATCCTGCAAGAGTGGCTGAGATGGGATGTGGCCATTTCTCAATTAGCCTCCTCACACTTCTTCCTCTCAGTCTGTACCCTGAACTCCGTGTAGCACCTGTGCCCTGGCTTTCTGTGCTGAGCTCCCTGGTCCGGGCATCCCAAACCTTTATGTGCAAGTAGGGTGTCACAGGAGCCACATCCAGGGAGGTGAGCCCCATCTGCAAGCTCCAAGACAGATACATCCCTGAAAAGGGAAACAGCAGTCATCAAAATTTATGCCAAAGACGTGTTTGGAATGTGTAGGCCTTCTTCTGTCACCCTTTAAATTAAAAAGTCAGAGGCCCAGCTATCAAAGCCAATTGTTTTTCTCACTTGTTCATGGGAAGCTTTTACATTTGTCTTATTTAATGGCAAAAACCAAACTAGCACTACAAATGTCTGGTCAATTTCTGTCTCTACTCTTGTTATTTCATACCTTAAAAAATAAATACAAAATAAAAATATATTAAAAAATAGTAATTACATTATTCTTCAGGGTTGGCACAACATAAACAGTGAGAACTCAGTTTCCAGGTGGAAAACAAAATGTGGAGTTTGCCAAGAGTTGGACTTTGATCCTTGTAGGTCCCTTCCAACTCAGGATATTCTGTGATTCTATGAAAGTGTCACAAGACATGTAAACTTAAGGGAAGAGGTAATGCATGTTGGGCAGCAAGGCCTAAAAATCTACCTCAGTTCAGTTTGAAGTATTGTTTGGGTATATACTGGAAATTACTTTCATAACTAAGGGACTGAAGGCAGTGCTTTTCTAGTTGTCTGTTCTATAATAAGTTTTAATATAGTTGCTGGACATAGCATTAATTTTCAAGGTGTGAATGAGCTGGATGGGCCAGATCAGGCAGATTTAAAAGGAAAACTTAAGGTTCAAAATGCGTAACTTTGTGGCTTATATTGAATGTAAATTCAGCATGAACATACTAGGAAAATGTGAAGAAGTAATGTTGATGGAGGATCTCTCTCCATTGTATTCCGAAATTATTCTGAAGCCTTTTGGAACATTTGAAGTAGATTTTGAAGTAATTAAAAACTATTTTAACATATTTTATTTTCCCCATTTTTAAGACTAAATGAGATAATGGCCGGATGTCAAAATATCTGCTTTCCTTTCCTCAGATTTCTCCATGCATTACCTCCACTGCCTTCACAGGAGTCAGTCACAAGAGGGCTTCCAGGTTCTCATTTTGAAACTTTTCCTCTCCGTGCAAACAATTTTCCATAGGCATTTCTGTCATTCTGCCCTTCCCTCTGAGCTTGCAAGAAAAAAAATGTCAGTCATCTTTGTTCCCTCCTAACAGTGTCCAGAGAAAGGCTAAATTCTGGGAGGAGGGACTTGCTTTGTAGAGAGTAGCATCCACTAATGATAGTGGATGAAACCCGACCAAAGTCCAGAGAGCAATATATGTGTTTCTGTTTTGCTTGAGGCTCCTGCTCAGTGCCAAAACAGCAACTAAAGTGTTAAAAAAACACCCCAAGAACAAAAACAGAGAAGAACTGAGATGCTATGAGTCACAGACTTATCTGGGGGTTATGTGAGGAAGGTCTTCTTGCCAGCTCTGCTGTTGACCACCACAATTTGTTACAGTGTTCCTGAGGCAATGTAAATGTATATTTATGAAAAGGAATGTTTCTCCGGGCACTCTTCTGTTTTCTTCCTTCTCAGAGCTACCTCCTAAGAGAAAGATGTTGCAGCAAAAGGTCATTGGGATTTCTGCTGTGTTAAAGGTTTCAGAGAACTCTTTGGAAACTGAGGAGTAAGGTTAGCCATGAGGTGCATTTGCCCTGTACAAGCCTTTGTGCATTAATCAACCATAATATTCTTTCATCATCACAAAAACAGCTTTTTGTTTTTATTTGGCTTTTTCTGTGCAGCTGTATCTGAACACAAAGCTCCAGGTCAGAAGTATATTGAATTTAGTTTATAATTAAGAACCGAGTGGTTCACAAAACTCAGAGCTAGGCTGTCACATTTTGAGTGACAGCCTGTACTTTTCATTTTTTGTAACAAAAGTGAATCTCTAAAGTAAAACTGTAATGGGTTCCTAGGCCCAGTACTGCCCAAAGATGTTTAAACTCTGGGGAGCACACTGGAGAGGCACATCCTAAAGAGCTAAACTGGGAATTACTCCTGCTATCTTCTGAGACAATGTCTTGCAGATCTTGGTGAGTCCAGTACCTGTGACTTAGATTCCAAAATCTGAGCTGGCACTGGAGAACCGGTGGAGTTCCATAGCAGATGATGTTTTTCTACAGCTGGAAAGCCACACTGACAGGTTTGCTCTGTATTATTTATTGCAGCACAGCTGCCTCTCATGTGATTTCTCTGCCCCATATTTATGGAATGCGAATCAAAGGTGTTGAAGTGTTCTGCCGTCTGGACCCACCTCCACCTTATGAAGCTGTGGGCAGCTTAAAAAGCTCTGAGCAGGTATGGGCCACAAGGGTTTAATGTCTGATTTGTTTTTTCCACTCTAAGGGAGAGGTTGCACTCAGGCATGGTAAATGTAAGTCAGGAGGATACATTTGATTACAAATGTAAATTTCACCAAAGCTGTTAATTAATTACTTATCTCTAGAACTGAAAAGTTTTCTCCAGTTGGAAAACTGCCCAGGCATGGGAGAAGGAACAAAAAGCAATGTGGGGCACACCTGTTACTGCTTATTCTAAAAGACCTCCTTGCTTTACTTCAGTTAGGTACCTGCACTCCTCCTGTGAGGGACTAGGTCAAAATTTTGTCATCATTGGTCATCCCTTTTCACTGGTGTTTTCAAAAGACAGGTGCTTTTTCCCAGAAAATGACTGACCTGGGTGATGAACACTAGACGTTCACTGGCCTTGATTTTGCCATAGAATTAAACTCATACGATACAGTCTCTGTGCACACTTGTTCTTACAAGTGTTCCATTTCTAAGGTGGATGTTGCAGTTCTTAGGAAATGCCAGAGAAAGATGGGGACTTGTGATTTTTCAACTTTTGCATTTTATTCCAGGGAGGTGCACCTCAACTAAATGGCATGGAAGATGTTGATTCAGGGGAAGTAAGTGACAGGCAGACCTCTCAAGGTAACAAGTAATTTTAAAGTTTGTTCTAGAATGTTCTTTCCAACACATACAACTTAATGCAGCAGCAGCATTATTATATTTGAAAGACAGCCACCACACTGCAAACCAGAGATACAGAATCATGATTGTTTTGGCCAGTGGGAACCAGGATTAATATTTAAAATATTTAAAAGCATAAGAACATGTTTTCATGCAAGATACAAAAAGAAGGATATGTTTGCTTTTTAGTAACCTAAAAGTTAGTTTTTGACACTATATCCATATGTTGCAAGAAATGATGTCCAGCTCCAGGGCTTCCATTTGCTTAGTGTATGTGATGGTGCCTGTTAACATTTTGTTGCTTGTAAAAATAGGAAAAGGGTAGAATAACGCTGTACTGTGTGGAGCTAAACTGGGAATTATTCCATTTTCCAGCCTGAACTGGAAGACTTACTAAATAGTTTCTGCATCTTGGTACGGGAGATAGCTAAACCACTCTTAGAGACCACATCAAGCTTTGCTCTGCACTGTTTTAGAAAACCATGCCTTATGGCTCCAAGTTGTTTTTAACCTAATATTTGTTGCAATGTATGCTTGTGTCTAAACATTGTTGACTTCCAGGTTTTCCAGTACAGCCCATGAAAATGTGTTCCAAATTTCATTTGAACTTGACCATTATGGCAAGATTGTCTTGTCTGCAATATTCATACAAAAGGGTAAAAACTGGGGCGGGGGGAAGCCCCAAATCTTTTATTTGATTGTATCCTTTCTTCTGCCAATATATTTATCAAACTATAAAAAAACACTTGGGTTTGAACTTCATCAGTTGAAATTCCTCCTATTATGTGGAGTCAGGGGGAAAAAAGAGTTTGTGTAAAATCATACTTCAGCCAAACGTCAAGTCTGTCGAAGTCCCCTTAAGTTCTCACAGTCTGCCTGAAACTGCTGAAAGTAAGCACTTGGATGATTCTGGTGTCTTGCCAGCTGTGATAAATGAAAACCTTTTGCTATAGCTTCTCTAGATTTCTTCCTCAAAGCTTTCTTACTTGTAAAACTCCTGTTTTGCTTTCTCTGAGCTTCCTGAACTCAAACAAAAAGAGGTTATCAAATACGAGGAGTCATTGTGACTTGTTTAAAGTTATGAGGACTGGAAACAGGAAAAAATAGCATAGACAACGCACTTGCAGTGAAGGACAGTCAGGAAAGCCTTTGCTTTGTTTTGTTTTGTTGTTTTTAAAAAAGGCTCTGATAAGACACTGTTTGAGGCATTTGTATTTAAAAATTTCCTTTGCAAGAATCAGACCTACCTGAGCACATATGGCAAAGTGGACCCTCTTTTCCATCATCTTAACTGGTTTGTCCAGTATTTTTTTTAAATAAAGAGGTCTTTAAAGAGGTGTGAAATTTCCTTCATAGCAGCCTATGGTGCTGGTTTGGATTTGTGATTTGGGGGGAGTGTTCCAGTATTGTCATTGTTCAGGGACTGGCTGGGCATCAGTCAGCCTGTAGTGAGTGACTGCTTTTGTATCACTTGTTTTCCTTTGAGTTTCTTAGCTTTTTTTCTCCCACCTCACTCCTTATCTCAACCCATGAGTTCTGCCACTTTTGTCTTTGAATTCTTCCTTATCACTGGGGAAGAGTGAGAGTGACTGTGAGGGACTGAGCTGCCTGCTGGGGTTAAACCACTGCAGGAGGGAAATATAAAATGGGGGCTTATGTTGGAATTGTGGCAGAGGAAATCTGTGGGCTGTCTCAGCTGCTGCAGTGTAGCAATCTATAAATAAAACTTGAACTTTCAGTTTATGCTGGCAGGCTGTCATGCCAGGGCATTTGTGTATGATGCTGTGATTCCCTTGGCACCATCAGGGCTGATCAACTGAGTATAGCTCCTGATAGAAGTTAAAGCTGTGCACTGCTCTGCCAGCAGAGAAGGGGAATCCTGACTGCCAGCTGCAGGAGGAACTCTAAGCATCTCTATGCCAGCTAAAATTGTTTTACTGACTTCATAATCACTCCTGTCACACAGAATGGGACTACAGTCTGCTGACTCTAGTAGGCAGACATGCAGCCTTTTGCTGGTGGCAGGAAGTGCTTGGTAGCTTCTCTATATCATCACAAACCAGGTGTATGAATTTCCAGTACACTCCACTGTAAGACAGTTCTCTCTTGGAAACATTATTAAGGATCAAGATCACAAAATCCGCTCATTAATCTGTTCAGAATTAAAAAAAAAATACCAAGCAGCTTCTCCAAAGTAACAGCACCACTGTACCTCCAGGACTTACTGCTAAAACAGCTCCACTGGTGTTGAAAAGTTTATATTGGTGATGGATTCTTTAATCCTGCATGATTCTTGGTCTGCCATATTTTGTTACTGGGCATTACCTTCTGATTTGCTAGGCTGGCACCTGTTTTATATAGGTTGTGTCACTCTTTCTTCTCTTTAGAGATTCTAAGTTGCATTTGTGTAGGTGATAAAGTACTGTGTTCAACAAGCACATACCATCCAAACCTAAATTTTCTTGAATGCTTCTGCCACTGGCACATACCTGTTAGATTTTTGCCGTGTTCTGAAAAAAAGACTGTTTACATGAATTTGGTTTTGTATTGGGTTTGCCTGGCCAAGTTTTGGTAGTGGTGGGGAAGCTGCTGGAAGGTTTGAAGCTCCCTCTGTGTCTGGCAGAGTTCCAAAGAGGGACCTGCTGCTGGAGAAGGCTGCACCAGTTAGAAATTATGGTAACACCTCTGTGACAACATATTTAAGAAGGAAAAAAAGTTACTTTGCAGATGTATTGGTGCCCAGAGAAGAGTGAAGTGAGAATACGTGAGAGGAACAGCCCTGCCAACGCCAGGGTCAGTGGAGAAAAAGGGGTAGGAGGTGCTCCAAGTGCTGGAGCCAAGTCCCCTGCAGCCCGTGGTGCAGCCCATGGAGAGGCAGCTGTGCTGCTGCAGCCACGGAGGTAACAGGGATGCGGAGGTTCACCCACAGCCCATGGAAAGCCCCTACTGGAGCAGGTGGTTGTGTGCAAAAAGGCTGTGACCCCATGGGAAGCCTGTTCTGGAACAGGCTGCTGTCAGGAGCCCATGCTGGAGCAGGTTTCCTGGTAGGACTTGTGACCCTTTGGGGGACCCATGCTGGAACAGGACTGACCCCATGGAAGAGTGACCCACACTGCAGCATTTTATGTAGAATTGTTCTCTGTGGAATGGAGTCAAGCTGGAGAGATTCCTGGAGAACTGTCTCCTGTGGAAGGGACCCCCTACTGCAGCAGAGGAAGGACTCCTCTCCCTGCACAGCAGCAGAAACGTGTCATGAACTGACCACAACCCATGATCCCTGAGGCGCTGCAGGACAGAAGATAAAGTCTGGGGGAGGGTTGGGGGAAGGTGTTTCTAAGATCTGTTTTACTCCTCATTATCCTGCTCATTTTTGGATAAAGTCAGCTAATATTCCCAAGCTGAATCTGTTTTACCTGTGATAGCAATTGATGAGTGATGTCCCCCTGTCCTTATTTCAAATCATGAGCCTTTCATTATATTTTTTCTCACCTGTCCAGTTGCAGAGGGGAGTGGCTGTGGTTGGGTACCTGGTATCCCACTACAAGTTTTTTAACTCCTGAATGATCAAGAAAATCGTTTTCTGTCACATACCAGGTGCCACTAGATGGAGGCACAGAACCAAGCTTAGTGAGAAACATACACAGCTTCATCCTGTCCTGTTCATTACATTGCAGCATATAGTTTCACTCTTGGGAAAAGGAGGAGTGGGAAGGATATAGCATATCACAAGAATCCAGGAAAATACTTAAGGAAATATTTTGATCCCTTTTTAGGGAGTAGTGACTGATTACAAGATACCTAAAATTGCAAAAGCTGACCAACCTCTCTGACCATATGCTGTCACATTCGGTACAACTCATTATAAGCACGAGGATTTGGGGCTCTGTGAGATTTAATTTTTCACCAATAAAGCTGTAGCTACCTTCTCTCTGATCAGGTAGTTTAAGGTGATTTTTGTACTAGGGTGTACTAGACTGTAGTCTTTTGCTACTCCAGTTGCATAAGGCGGAACAGGCTTTTGCAAACATTTAAACAGGGTTTAGACCAAAGTTACGGTTCAGTAAGTGTGGGTCTGTGTACACATACATGCACCTCTAGACCTCTGTGTCCAGTTACTACAGATTTGCAGATGGGATGGGGAAAAAAAAATCAGTCTCTAACAATGGCTTCTACAGATTAGCTTTATTTTGACTACTTCTGCTTTTCTGTTTCTAATAATTCAGCTGAAGAAATTCAGGAGCCTTCCAGCAGAGTGAGCCTTTCCCCTTCAAATGCAAGCTGTGTGTCTGCAGGAGTGAACAGGAGAGCCTTCAATTCCTTGTGGAAATACTCTAAAAGTGACCCTGTGCTCCATTGCCAGCTGCCTCAAGGTGACTCGGGTTTCTCTGTCAATGATTGTGTAATGGTTCTTTAAAAGAAAATTTTTCAAAAGTTTTGTACATTGAACCTAGTACCTGCAGAAATCAGCTACTGTTTCCCAACAGAGCACCTACGTAACAGTGGTTTGCCAAACCTTCTTCACCTAACTCTTTAGTTTTGCTGCTCTTTAGGTTTTCATATCCAGGAACAGGGTCTGTAGCAAGGTCTGGGTAGGGGTCTTGGGAGGGGTCGTGGAAAATAAGGAGGGAGAGCACACACGATTCCTCAGTGCACTGACACCTAAAATCTTACAAGCGCAGTTGTCAATGTGAGCAATTTATAGCAAAATTGGCTTGGGGATTTGGTATTAGCCTGTAAGCTGGCTCCCCTTTTCTCAATCCTCACGTCATAAAAGAACAAAAACAAAACAAAACCCCAAAAAAACCTCAACACAACTCATGGTGGAGAGTTGTTGAAACTGCTTTGGTGTCAGTGATACAATTCTGTTGCTGTGGGAAAACTGCTAATGTGACTACACAGTCCATCATACTGCTGCCAGTCTTGAAAAATGCACCAGTCAGGGGTCTTGCAGTTTCTACTAGAAGATATTGGAATCCCCACAGTAGCTGCTGACACATACCAGCACTCAAAATGTAAGTGCCAATGGGCATGTTAGTAACAGCCATTTATTTTGGATATTGGGAGCAAGCCTATCTGGATTACACTTGCTGTTTTTGTGGAATGCTTTCACAGCCCTGCTGTATCATGTGCTATGTCTTGTCCTCCTAACAAGTTCCACCAGAGCAGCCCAGAGAATCTGCTGCTGAAGCAATAGTTACATGACACACAGCCTATTCATAGCTGTGAAAGCAGAGTGTTTCTGATGTACAGAGACCCCATGTCAGAAGCATTGGAAGCTTCAGGCTCAGTGTTACTGAGGTCAGGTCAGTTCAGCAGTTAGGTCTGAGTTAATCATGAGTGCTATAGAAAAAGAACTCACTGCAGCAATGGAATTTACTTCAAGTTAGTGCTCTTCTTTCTGGGAAGTTTTGGATCTCTTCCTGACATTTTTTGGTCTGAAGCCAAAAAGTACTTCTTGAAACAAGTGCTTCTTAACTTCTTAAAGTACTTCTTGAACAAACTGTAGGTGTGGTTTGGGATTTTTTTTGTTTTTTCCTTCCTTTTAATGGGGCCAAAATTTGATAACCTGTGTACACCAAAGGCAGTGTATTTTTATTTTGACAAAAGGCAGTGAAATTGGTTCTGTATTGCCCTTTGTTTAGTCCTTGAAAGGTAATTTTGAACGTTCTGGTGTGGGTTTGGTTTGTTTTTGGTTTTTTTTTCCACTGAATTTCTGCTTTGTAGTATTACTAGATTACAGCTTGACAGGTAGTTATTTTCAGTCCTCTTGACTCTTGTCCTCTTGACTGCTAATAACTAAAAGTTATCAAGAGTTTAGAAGAGGTCATAAAAGCCTTCTACCTTTTTGTTTACATTGACATTCAACATGCATTTCAGATCTCTTCAGATCAGAAACAAGAAAAAGGAACCAATGTACAGAAAATGACAGAGCTTTCTGAAGGGGAAGAGTCCCTCCAGAGCCTTTGACATGTAATATGCACTGAATCATAGTTATGTATGCCTATTTTACAGGCATTTTGTGTAAATCCAATAGAGGCAGCCTTCCATACCACCCTGACCATGCCAGACTGTTAGGTTTTACAAGGTTAAATGATGCACTGCATCCTCTTTGAATCAGGAGAGGAATCTCTGGGAATACCATGAACTATGTGGTTTGTTTGCTTTGTGTCATCTTTGTCTTCAGGGACAGTTCTCAACTGTGAAACTGCAGCACTCAATGATGTAAATCCACTTAACGATATCACCTTGCAGAAGAGTTCAAGAGCAAGAGCTTTGAGGGGAAGACCCCAATCTCTGATAGACTATAAATCTTTTATGGAGACTAAACAGCGTGTGGCAAGGATCCTTGAGCAGTCCTCCAGCAGCATGAGCCCAGACATATATGACGTGGTGGAAAATATCAAATCTGTTTTAAAATCAGATGAGAAATATATGGCAGAAGCTGTCACCAGTGCCACTTTCCTTGAGCAGGTAGTTTTATTACTTGTATTTATCACGTGAAAAACCAGTATTACTTGTATTTATCAGTGGAAAACCACTGCCCCTGGTTTGGAAGTATAGGTTTACATCTGCCAGTCTGTGTGTCAGTTTTTGGACCAAACTGGCTTCCTTCAGGACTTTACTTTCATGTAGGGGATGTGTGAGAGGCTGTGACATTTATTGCTCTGTCAGCCACAAGCCAGAGTATGTGTGTATTTAAAAACTGAGTCAGTCTTCTTCTGAGGAGTCATGAAATGTAAATAACATGACAGCATTTTATACTGAGTGTGGCAGGGGAGAGGGAGAAAATGTTATAAATAACCATTTGCTATTGCAAACCAGAAGGAATGGAGGCTGACAAGGAAATTTTTATGTAAACCCATCAGAAGCAACTTTTTTGTGATTGGCTCCCAGAATAAAAATAAGACCTAGTACTAAGGAAATTAAAAGCAGAAAATAGAAAATACGATGGAATGACTAGCCAGAAGTTTCAGACACTGCAGGCTTCATCAAACAAATGTTTTGGTAACTTACAGACCTTTTGGGTAGATTAATTGATTCATGCATGGCACAAGTGATTTGCTATGACAACTGGTTTTGGTTTGGGTTCTCATGCAAAATGCATCAGTGTCATTTAGGTTCTGCAAATAAAGTGGGATTTCCCACTGCAGCCTTCAGGCAACTAAAGCCTTGACAATTTTGACAGAAACAGGAAGGAAAAAGGCTCCTTATAATAATTTAATTTATCACATAAGCTTGAAGGTTATTACAGTTCAGTGGCCTCTGCAAGGAAGCAACATTTAGGTTCTTTGTAAACAATACCAGACAGGCCATAGGTTGGAGTGAAAAATTTCCTGTGCACCTTTGAGGGGGAAACCAAACCAACCTAACAAAAACTCAACAAACAATAAAATAAAAAATTACCCTACTCCTTTCCCAGCTAGGACTGCTTTTCCCATGCCTCCTTGGCAAAGGCTAGGGGTTTTAGAGCTTTTTAAATTATTCTTTAAATATAACAAACAACACTACAACTAGCTTCTTCCTAGTTGGGCAAAAAACTATTTTAATGGGACAAGAGCCTGAAAACAAAACTGATTAAAACTTCTATTTTCTTTATAAAGGTGATGACACATGCTCAGCAAGCCACACCATTGCGAGTCAGTGTGTTACCTCTCAGATTACATCCTGGATTGCTGTTCCTGGAGAGCTGTGGTGACCTGAGTACTTTCACCACAGAGGGAGAACACCCAGCAGAGAGGAGAATCAAAAGAGCAGAACATGAACGGTCTTATAGTCTTATTGGTGTTGTCAGGGAAACTGTACTTTGAGCTGGGTTTTTGGTTATTCCTCAGCAGAAGTCCCTCTGGCAGACATACACATACTGCAGAGGAAAATATCTCTGGCAAGTGGGTGAATGAGTTTGTCAATAATTGCCTTCTTTTTTAATATTCTTATGCTCAGACTACAGAGGGGAAGATCATTCTACAAAGACCATTAAGCAGATTGAAAACTGACCTTTAGTGGGCCCTCAGCTACAGCTCATCTGTTTGTGATACATTAGTGCTGTGCATCTCTGTGAAGTTTGGTAACGTGTAGTTGTGGGGTATGATGATACATTATCCTTGTGGAAGGAGCTGTCAAAAGCAGTATTGAAGAAATTGGCACATTTTTGGTACTTTGGTTTAAATTAAAATCTCCAGTCATCAAATGGAGCCCTTCAGATACAAACTACGTTAGTAAAAAAAATGGTGTACAGAATTCTGAAGTTATTCTTTACAAAAGAAAGTTGTTGAAGTGCAAACTTTACTAAAAATAAAAAATGTCCTGAAGACATTTTTTGGCTCAGTGAACTTCTCAGTTAATGATGGAACAACACCCAAAAGCACAGCTGTTCTGCAGTAAATGGTACTGCCTTGTTACTGTCCCGGGAAGAAAGGCACTCTCTGTATAGTCTCATTTGAAATGCTGTTTATTACAGCGGGTGCTACGAATGAAGAATCTACTATAGTTGATTTTATATTCTTCCAGGTGCTGGGAAGCCCAGACTGTGCAGGATCAAGCAGTGCACAAGTTATGTAGATCCCATCCATTTTACCCCGTTTAGGTCATTTCAAGTAATTAAAAATTTTCTTAGAGAACAACTCTATTCATCACTCCTACTGTCAAACCAAAGGGCTGTTCACGTGGGACCTTACTGCTGCACTTCTAGACAAAGGCAGGGACACACATGTACTGCTGGGGCTTTTGAGTACCACTGGGACTGCCTGCAGGCTCCCTTCTTATAATCAACCATCTAAATTTATTCTGTGGCCAAGGGACATCCCTGGAGGTCCATCTGTAGGAGCAGCACAGAGCACAGCACAGGCCTAGCCCTACTTGGGTAAGAGGCACATGGATCACAAACTCTTCATGTACCATGATTTTAGGTCAGGATTGCTCCATATGCTTCAGCACAGAACATTTATTTAAATTACAGTCCCAGCCCTGACACTGACACTGACAGTTCCCACAGGTCACCAGCATCACCTCTTCAGCCTGCAAGGCACTACAGGGTACTGGAACTGGGGTGGGGTCTGCTTGTCCTCTGTGTGGATCCAAACCATTAAAACACTGAAGGAAAGGGCAAGAAACATGTCTCCTGTCAGTATAGCAAATCTGCAAAATTTTTGTCTGTACTGGTAAAGTAAGAGCTTATGTTTATCCACCGAAATGCAGAAAAGTTTGTAAAACAAATTAGTATACACAGCTAATGATAAGAAAAAATAGGAGGATGGAGGGTGGTACACAGGGAAATGCAGAAAGCAAGCTCAGCATGCCTTCTGCACCCTTTGCCAGGGACTTCACAATTTCTTCTGTCTGTCATTTATGAAAATAAGGTGAAATACTTCATTCTGTCATGTTGGTGGTATTTATATTTCATGTTATGAACGGCCACTAAATGGCTGAATGCCCATGTTTAAGTTTCTTCTGAATATGCTGTGGCATATATTTAATTTCTGTGGTTTCAAAGTACTCGTGACAACCTATGAGTCACAGAAAATCCTATGAAGCCTCACCAGAAGAAGCACTCCCTTTTTTATTGGTTGACTTTCAAATATACTCGTATTTTTCATGATCTCTCATTATACAAGTATTTTTAAGTTTAGCACAGGCAGTTCCAGGATGAATTCTAAGGACAGACATATTACAATTCTACTTTATTCAAGTGGTGTTAGGTCTTTAAAAATAAACCATGCTGATGACATTTGAAGGAAAACAGTGACTTCAGAAATTAAGCGTGAAGAATTTTTATCAAAGCCCCATTTATGAAAAATTCCTATTTAAAGTTACTCAGTCAATGAAATAGTATTTCTGTCACAACCACAGTGGCATTTCACACAGTAAAAACTGGGATGCCACCTTAGATTAGGAATCAGCTTTGTTTAGGAGCACTTGTGTCATATTGCCTGAAAAGACTGCTGTTTAAAAAATAAAGGTAACACCACTGCTTCACGCCTGCAGAACCACAGATAGAACCATTCCAGACTAAGTGGCATAAAAGTTCAGACACCTTCCAATTATGTATGCATTCAGTATTGGCAAGTCAGCCTCTAGATCAGTATGAGCAAATTCTCAGCCTTGTCTGAGGTATTTTTGTTTTGTAGTTTATTGTTGCAAATCTTACAGACATTAGCGCTCTGTTAAATAAAGGAATGTAGCACAGTAAATACATCACAACAAAGTAACTGGCCAGAAACCCCCTACCCTGTTCCATCCAAAGCAAAAAGCCCACTCTTCTCCCCTCTGTCTCTCCCCAAATCAAATCAGCACAGCTTCATTAGAGAGGTCAGAGACCTGTGGCAGAACACATCAGAGTAATTACATTCAGTAGATGTGCAATATCAACATTCCAGTCTCACATATATTTATATATATATTTATATTTATATATAGAGATCATTAAATGTTTACAAAGAACAATGTTGTTACAAATACATTACTATGCTTTTCCCAACGCTTTATAATAATTTCTATTCATCCTCTTTACAGAACAATAGTACATAGTCTAGATACTGCACTAAATATATACAAGAGATCTCAACCATGTTACTGTCTTGAGAAATACATTTCTTTTAGAAAAGAAGGAAAGCTAGCAAACTTGGAAATCCAAACTGAGACAAACAAGATTCAAAACAAACATAAAACTTCTCAAAAATAAAAAATACAAGGGATGTTTCATCCTTAATGTAAACACTGAAGAGTTAATTAGACTGTATGAAGCAGCAAGGATGAAAGAAAAAGTATTCAGGTCTGTCACTGAAGAAGGAATGTAAACCTTTGAAGGAATGTTCCTTTGCATCTGTTAAAAATCCCCATATCTGATCTATCAAACTGCTGCAACAGCCTAGAGAACAGCCAGCTTTCCCTTTAGAGTTCCATTTTCTTGAAACTCCGTTTACAGAGTAAAATGGGATTGTTTACAAGACTGTTCTCAGAAGTGTGCACACACTATGGACCTCTCAGTTTAGAAATCTTATGCACATGCTGTAATTGAAAAAAGTGAGATTTTTTTTGCTAGGTTCTGGTCCTGCAAGCATTCATTTGCTTAATGTTAAGCACCTATTTAGGATGAACAGTAACTTCACAAACTCTGGGCTGCAAGATTTCCGAAGAAACAGTTGTTTCTTCTCTAAATACATTTGCATGTTCAGATCTTCACCATTTCCCAGTGAAGTGACCTTCACCACATGGGCTAGACAGAAGCACAGAAACAAATGAAGTGGAGGGCATACACATAGCAGGAACCAGAAGCATGATAACTGTGTCTTCAGGAGTTCAGTAAGTTTTCTTACGCAATGTATGGAAAGGCTGCACTGTATATAATCTTCTAAATTGTACATGGTTATATACCGTATTTACATTTATTACTATATATATGGAAAGTTCTAGAAAAAAGGTTCAAATTACCATAAACCAGATGTCTACAGTTAAACAATATACTCACAAGCTATTAATTATCTTGTTGCATCAGTGAGGCAGCAGAGTTAAGTACTAACCTGGAATACTAATACCATTCTCTTGTGCAATCTGCTATTCTGAAGCCTTGGATTAAATTATATAACAACAAGAAATGCAGTAAAATCAAGTCATCGTACATTTATCTCAACACTAAAACGTATCCCCTTACTACAACAGTTTATGCACCACTTCATTATGTCTCTTAAATATCTGCTTCCCACAGAAATACAGTTTATCCTCTAACTCTGATCAGGCCATGATTATCCATGATTTTAGAAAGCCAAAAAATGGACTCCTGACAAGAGTGCTCAGTGGTTCTCAGCAGTGTTTGCAACAAGTGCACATGCACACACCCACTTCTATGAATCCCCATAGCAATGTCTAGGATCATCACTGGACTGCAAGCAACGCTTACATTGCACAGCTCACGTCACAACAAGTGAGAAACAAGTGACTATGAACAACACCGCATTTGCAAAGCAGAAGTGGCGTGTGGCTTGTCTGCTCTTGTTTTCATCTCACTGCACCTTTCCATCACAGCAAAACACAGCACAAACTGTTTCTTTAAAAGAAATCAACATACTAGCCTGGACTAAACGCATGGTTCAACTTCAGTATAAACATCAGTATACAGTCCTGAAAAAAAGTAACTACAGAGAATGTAGAATTCTCTCACTAGGAAGAAAAGACACTGCTTCTTTTTTATTTTGAACCCTCTTAAAAAACCCAAATAACCCAACCCAGCCCCCTCCTCCCCTTTTGTCTCTAGCATGCAACTTAGAGGCTAATCAAATACAAGGTTTCATACATCTCTACAGTTAATCATCTTCATACAAGTGCATATAGTATACACATATCTCTTTTAAGTGCCATACATATGGGAAAAAAATCACAAGCTAAATTATATAACAAAATAAATAAGTTTATTCCTGCCTCATCCTTTCCACTGTTACCTATATCATGAACTAAATAGGAAGTCAATAAAATTAGACAGGTCTTTGGACAAAAATATATGTTAAAACTGGCTCAGAGAACAAAATTACTTAGAATAGTCTGCAGATCTCTTATATTCAAACTTCATAAATAGGAAGCACAATTTTAAAAATGTCTATATACACTGGCACACATGGCTATGTGCACCAAAATTGGAATTAAGAGCCTAGAAAAAGTGTAGCTATTCAGCAGATCCCCTCACTATTTTTCTTGTGGATATTTAAAGATCCTCCCCCCCCACTTCTTTAAACTCTAAAATCAGGAAGGGACTATAAAAGACAAAGCAGAAGAAGACTAGGAGATAGAAACCTGGGGGCAGAGAGGGGGAGGCAGCTGTAAAATACGCCTCCCAAATTTCTTAGTGTAAGTAATGCAAGAATAAAATGTTTCAGGAACCTATGGAGTATCTTTTGGAGTCCTACTATCATGAAGAAGTGATGACAGGGGGGAATTAAAAGGTATGTATTTGGACAATTCATTTTACAACAGCAGCATTTACTGAGTGTTCATAAGCAGGCAATTTTTCCTGAGGGCAAAACAATCCTTTTGGTATTCTACTTTCCCCACAGACACAAACCTTTAGTACTGAGCTTGATGCCTGTGGGAAAATGGGGGAAAAAAAGCAAAGTCACAGGCAGGATATCCAAGAGAACACTTTGTACGCTATACTTCTATCTGTTTGGTAAAGTCATCTTTCATTCGGCAACATTTAATTTACTTGGTTTGTAAAATTATAGCCACAGAAATAAAACTGATTATGTAGCATGAAATACAGCCATCTGTGAATACTGCTGTAAATTACGCTGCTGTTATTTTCCTGTTTTGTATGTGGAGCTGTATGAAGTTTCACTTGTAAAAATATGCAACCAAAATAGTTCCATAGATACATTTTGGCCCTCACCAAAATGCAGGAAAATGGTGAGAAGAAGAGGAAAGAGGGATAGAGAGAGCAACAGCGTATTTGTGTCTGTGAAGTGGGGAGAGAGGAAGAAATGTCTTTGCAGACACAGAAATGCAGCACTAGAGAGATAAACACTAATGAGGAAAAACATCTTCCATGCACACTGTGGTGGTGAGGTGTCAGCTTCAGATGTAAACTGGTTGTTCTTGTGCAGTCAACAGTCTGTACATGGCAGCTGGCATAGTCTTCATATGGATCTAGAGGAAATAAGCCAAGTTAATCAATGCTCCTAAACATGCACACCTCACATGAAGATAAAGTCATACAAGGCAGAAAAAAAGGTAACACTTGAGAGTTTTCATAACCTTATTAAAGTATTGCAGGTGATGATTTTATGAAACAGTATGTTTTGATGAACCATCTAAAATCGTGGACACTTCATATTTTGAAGGTACGGTTCTTCTAAAGCATAGAACTGTGGGGCAAATAATGAAAGAAATGGTGCACAGTCTTGTTCTCACTTCAGCTTTTTGGATTTGATTAGCAACAGACCAACAGAGGCAGAACCAAAGAATTATGGAACAGTCTGAATTTGAAGGGACTTTTCAAGATCATCTAATCCAAACTGCTGGTATCAATGTTTTTCACTGGAACAGATTGCTTAGAGCCCCATCCAACTTGGCCTTGAACACTTCCAGGGATGAGGAATCCACAGCTTCTCTGGGCAATCTGTTCCAGTGGCTCATCAACCTTACAGTGAAGGATTTCTTCCTATGCCCAATCTAAATCTACCCTCTTTCAGTTTAAAACCATTGCCTGGCACTGGAGACCCCGGTAAAAGTCTCTCTCCATTTTTCTTAGAAAGCCCCTTTATACATAGAAAAGCTGTGGTCAGGTCTCCCTGGAGCCTTCTCTTCTTCAGGCTAAACAACCAAACTTCTCTCAGCCTCTTCTCACAGGAGAGGTGCTCCAGCCTTCTGACTCTTTTCATGGCCTTCATCTTTATCTGCTCAAACAAGTACATGCCTTGTTTATTCTGAGGGCCCCAGAATTGCACACAGTACTCCAGGCAGGGTCTCACAAGTGCAGAATACAGAGGGAACATCACCTCCCTGCTGGCCTCACTGTTTTTGATGCAACCCAGGATACAGATGGCTTTTTGAGCTGCAAATCCCCATTCCTGGCTCCTGTTCAACTTTCCTTCCACCAAGTTCCTCTCTTCAGGGCTGTTCTCAATTTTTTCAGCCTCAGTCTCTATTGATGTTGGAGATTGGCCAGACCCAGATGCAGGACCTTGCACTTGGCCCTGCTGAACTTCACAAGGGTTACACTGGCCACTTCTCTAGCCTAGTTCAGGTCCCTCTAATGGCATCCCATTCCTTAAGCACCACTGATCTTGATGTGACCTTCAAACTTGCTGAGACTACAGCCCAATTCCACTATGTAACTGATGAAGACATGACAGACAGAGTGCTGATCCCCTTGAAGGACACTGCTTGTTACTGGTTTCCAGTGGTTGTTAGTGGTAACAGCAAGGACCTGTGCTATACTGCCTAGACACACTGCTGGCTCTTACCTCACCAACAGCATTTGAGAGGATGTGAACAATTTTCTCATGGGGTGTTGCTACAACGCTCTGCCCATTGATCTCAATGATCCGATGGCCAACACGCACACCTCCTCGCTCTGCTATACCTCCTCTCATAAGGCTACAGATCTGGAAGGAAGAGAACAAATTCATCATGGGCTGGATAAGGAACAGAGACTTGATTATCCACTTTTTGCCTGCAAGCTACGAATCAACATTTAAACACAGACTTGCAACAACAAATTCTAAGATGCAATCATTGCTGACTCAAAAGCAAAATTTGTTCATGACAAGTAATTAATTCTCTTCCAAGAGCAGAACAAACTGTCAGAAAAGCCTGTTTGTGTTGTACATTACATGTCTTTGGACATGTGGTTTGGAAATTCATGAGTGTATGAAGGACCTCAATTTAATGATGTTCATTAGACAGATGCCTTACAACAAAAATGATCAAGAACAGGCTTTTTCTTTCATGCTATCATTGCATTACGCAATGGCTTAGTTAAAGACATGTATGATGCATGCTGAAAGCAGACTCTTCCACACATTTTTGGTTTTTTAAGCTGAAACAACTTTTTTATTCCTCTGGCTGACTGTAAAGTTGTGAATTAAGTAGAGTCAAAGACAAAAAATAACTCTTATTAACACAACTTTTATATCTCAGACTTCACAAGTGCAAAATCCTGCTTGCTGAAAGGGAGAAAATAGCGGCTTCCCTCTTCTCAGACTGAAACTTACCCACAAATGGAGAGGAAGTTTCATGTTAAAGTTTGATCAGAAATGGTGGAAGCTACTTACAATCCCATTCTGCACACTGAAGCCCAGCTGATATCTGAGGTCTGGTCTTCTGATCAAGACTGTGGTTACTGGAGGACATCTAACTATGTTCAGTTTAACCCGGGCCTGGTTTTTCAAACCCTGAAAAAAAATACCAAATTGAGAGTTAAACATGTAACATGACCAGAAATAAAAAAGGTGTTCAAATGCTGACATGGGAGCAGCCTTGAATAAATAGATCTTTGTATGCATTGTACCAGAACATGATCAATGAATGCCAGACACAAGCATCAGAATATTCTGCAGGATGAGTGATAAAACATTGAATTTTTCTTGCCAAAAATCTGGCACAGCCGTTTTAGATTCCTGCTGGCAGTTTCTTCATTTGATAATATAAATCATACATAAAAGGAATATTAAACAGGTCTATGCATCTCACCAGAAAGGTCAATGACTCTTAAATAAGTAACTGAGTTAGTTGCAAAACAGTTACTTCCCTAATGAAATATAATAAATTCTGTCAAGCAAACAGCTGGTCCTCCTTGTATCATCTTTGTATAAGCAGCGCCCATAATTTCCATTATTCACAGAATCACAAGATGGGTAAAGTTGGAAGGGACCACTGTGGATCATCTGGTCCAACCTCCCTGCTCAGGCTGGGTCATCCCAGAGCACATGGCACTGGACTGTGTCCAGATGGCTCCTGAATATCCCCAGTGAGGAAGACTCCATAGCCTCCCTGGGAAATCTGTTCCATTGGATGGTCACCTACACAAGCTATTCCTTTATGTTCCAATGGAACTTCCTGTGCATCAGTTTCTGCCCGTTACCCCTTGTCCCATTGCTCAGCACCCCCGACAAGAGCCTGGCTCCATCCTCTTGGCACCCTCCCTTCAGCTACTTACAGACATTGATAAGGCCCCTCTCAGTGCCTCCTCTTGAGGCTGAGCAGCCCCATCTCCCTCAGCTTTTCCTCATAAGAGAGATGCTCCGGTCCCTTCATCCTCTTTGTACAGCTCCCCTGGACCCATTCCAGGAGCTCCATGTCCCTGTTGTGCTGAGGAGCCCAGAGTTGGACACAGCACTGCAGATGAGCCTCACCAGGGCTGAACAGAGGGGCAGGATCACCTCCCTCGAGCTGCTGGCAGTGCTCTTCCTGATGAATCTCAGGACACCACTGGCCCTCTTGGCCACAAGGGCACACTGCTGGCTCATGGACAGCTCGTTGTCCACCAGGATCCCCAGGTCCTTCTCCACAGAGCTGCTCTCCAGCAGGTCACTCCAGCCTGTGCTGGTGCATGAAGTAGTTCCTCCCCAGATGCAGGATCCTGCATTTGCCCTCACTGAATATCAGAAGGTTCCTCTCTGCCCATCTCTCCTGCCTGTTGAGGATCCTCTGAAGCACTTGGGTGTCAGCCACTTCTCCCAGCTTGGAGTCAGCAGTGAACTTGCTGAGGAGGCATCTGCCCCTTCATCAAAGACATTTATGAAAACCTTAAAAAATACTGCAGGAGTATTGAATCCTGAGGGACACTGCTACCTTGACACCTCCAACCTGACTGTGCCACTGGTGATGACCCTCTGGGTTCTGCCATTCAGCCAACTCTCTATCCACCTCACTGCTCACTAACTGGTCCATACTCCCTGAGTTTGCCTATGAGGATGTTGTGAGAGATGGTGTGGAAAACCTTGCAGAAGTAAAACACACACTGCTCTCCCTTCATCCATCCAGGTAGCTGTTCTTCCATAGAAGGCAATCAGTTTAATCAGGCATGATTTACCTTCAGCGAATCCATACTGACTACTGCTGATCACCTCATTGTCATCCGTGTGGATAGAGATGTCCTCCAGAATGAGGTGTCCCAGGGATTAAGGTGAGGCTTACTGGACAGTAGTTCTCTGGTTCTCTTTCTTTCCCTTTTTGAAGACCAGGGTGACATTTGCTTTTCTCCAGTCCTCTAGCAAGTCTCCAGATTGCCATGAACTTTCAGTGATTGCCAGGACCCTTACTGTGGTGTCTGTCAGCTCTCTCAACTCTCATGGATGCAGAGACCATGGATGTGTGGATTTTGAGTTTGCCTAGGTGTTCTCTAACCCAATCCTGTTTGACTAAGGGAAAATATTCCTTCCAACATTCCTTTACCCTGACTTCCTGTGTCAGAGATTCCTTAGGGCTGGTCTTGACAGTGAACACCAATCCAAAGGCAGTGTTCAGTAACTCTGCCTTGTCTGTGTCCTCTGTCACCGAGGCGCCCCCCTCCATTTAGTAACAGGTCCACATTATCCCTTGTTTTCCTTTTGTTGTTGATGTATTTGAATAAGCTCATCTTGTTTTCCTTGACATCTGTGATGGATTGGCATTTAAGAAAAAAAAAAAAAGTAAGAGACATCTAAAGAAGTTTAGGATGCTAAAGGCTTATGGGAGTTCTTTCTCCTGGCCAATATCTGGCCATTTCTGAAAACTGACAGTTGTTTTGACCATTGAAAAGTGAGATCAACCTATGAACACCACCCTTTAAAAACCTAAGCCCAGGAATTTCTGGCTTCTTTTTGTTCCCAGCTGTGAAAGGTAACAGAACTCCAGCTGGCTCCCGCCCCCTCTCCAGGCCATGAGCCCTGGGCAGGGGCTGGGCTGGGCCTGCTGCGGTTCCCGGCTGGGGGATGGAGCCTGTGGGACTTCCCCCAGCCCGGCCAGGCTCTGCTGCAGCCTCCCGGGAAGCCTCTGAAACTTTTTCCAGGGGGGGCCCAGCCTGGGCACTGCTGAGCTGAAGTCCAGGACCAAGAATACCTGTTACAGCTTGAGCCAGATTTTAACCCTTTCACTGCCCAGAGGAGACCTGCAGATTTAATCCTTTTTACAGAGAGAAGAAAGCAAGAGTGATCAACATGTAAAGAGACAACATAAACTATCAAAGCCAGTGAGGGAAAAAATTAAGCCTCAGGTAAGGAGAGGAGATGCTTTAATAAGCTGAAATACTCTTCTGTTAAAGCTATGGAGATGGACAATAATGTTCTGAAAAAACTCCTTTAATTCATGAAAAAGTATTTTGGGAGGAATGAAGCATTTCAAAGTGTCGCTCTGAGCAAAAGTAATCCATTGATGAAGCTGAGCAGATAGTGAAGTAGTTGTGATCTCATAAAATGCTGAAACAGAGAAAGAGAAGTGAGAGTTGATAGAAGTACTTGGCCCCCAAGAAGAAAAGAAAAAACTTCTGTTCCCAGAGATGATCACAGAGACAGATGAAGAGAACTTTTGCCTTTGAATAGCTCTTCCTTAAAATGCCACCCCTTGACTTTATGGCCCATAAACACACCTCAGAGTGGTGTGAAATGAGAGGAGAAGACTTATGGCAGAGTTTCTGGGTGGCTGACATCAGAGAAATAGAAATCCATGAGAAAACTGTTTTCTTATGAAAAACTCTCCATAGAATGACAAAAGAAAACTTATTTTTCTCTATGAAGACTGATGAAAAAGCTACTATATAGTTGGGACTGCTCTAACCACCAGGTTTTGTCTCTATGTTGTTAATTAAACAAGAGAATGGTTGGGTGGTGGGGAAAAACGGTTTCTGGAGATTTTATTCTGGTTTATTATTCTTGTAGTCTTGTTGATAAACTTCCTTTATTCCTTTTAAGTTTTAAGCCTGTTTTGCCCTTCTTCTAATCCATATCTCACAGCAATAAATGAGTAAGTTTTCTAGTGATTTTTTTTTAGCTAGTGCTTTAAGCTCATGACAACATCCTTGGTCATATTTAATTCCAAATTGTCTGTGGCCTTCCTTGTCTCATCCTCATCTCTCCTTAGTCTGACAACCTCTCTATATTAATTCCAAGAGGACTGACCCTGCTTACCCTGCTCACCCTGCTTCCATCTCCTGTGTATTTCCTGCTTATGCTTGAGTAATGACAGTTCTTCATTCATCCATGCAGATCTCTTGACCCCTTGTCTGACTTCTTGCTCATTGGGATGCATCGTTCTTGAGTTTGGAGGAAGTGATCCTTGAATATCAACTTTCCCTGCAGGACCTCTTCCCATGGGATTCTATCAGTATCTCTAAAGAGGCTAAAATAAGCTCTCCTGAAGCCCATGATTACAATCTTACTTGCTAATAGGCTGGCACCAATCTTCACACATCCAATAAATCCTTTCCTCTTTGCTGGATGAGGTCAAGCAGCATACCCATTTCTTGTGGGATCCTCCGTCATCTGAGGAAGTTGTCACAAGTGCTTTCCAGGAACCTCCTGGACTGTTTGTGCTTTGCTGTGCAGCTTCTCCAGAAGATGTCATGATAGTTAAAGTCCCTCACAAGAACCAGAGCCTGTGACTTCAAGCTGCTTTGAGCTGTCTGTATAAGGTCTCATCCACCTCTTGATCAGGCATCCTGTAGCACAGACCCACAAGTGCCACCCTCAGTAGTCTGCCCTTTTATTCTAACCTATAAACTGTCTACTCACTCATCATCTACCCCAAGACAGAGCTTGATACATTCCAAGTATTCTTCTTCCCTTCCAACTGAGTTATATCACATTCATAATAAACTCCTTCCTACCAGAAGAAAATTGAATGAGAAAAAACTGTTTTTACTGTGAAGATGGTAAAACACTTATTACCCAGAAAAGCTGTGGAGCATCCAGTCTTGGAGGTATTTAAATCCCAGTGGAAAAAGTGTTAAGAAGTCTGTTCTACTTTGAATCAAAATGTTAGTCTAGACTAGCTACAGGAGTGACTGCCAGACTCAGAGACTGAGTTCATATGGCTCCATGAAAACAAAAATGTAATGAACCACAAATAAATGCAATCTGACCCTTTATACAACTTCAAGTATTCAGAGCTCTTGGAGATTGTTATGAGAGATTTTTGAAATGCTTAATTCACACAAAATATTAGCCATAATTCTATACATAAATAAAAAACTCATAAAGAATGAAATGCTTTCTAAAAAATACAGCTATTTTCAACTTACTTAATTAAAGTGATCTACTGACCATTCCAGTATCTGCTTCTGAATTCCTTTCATATGTACAATTGAAATTCCAGGTCTCATTGCTATCAAGGTGTCAGACACTGACTTCAAATTATTAATTCCGTAGCTAAGGTAATATACTGAAGTCTCTACATACAATTTACTGCTGCTGATTCTGTTGAGCTGAGCTCCCGATTCAGCAGTGACTTGAGTAACTGAACTGGCATCCTGGCATTATGAACTGCCCTGAAATCTGTTTTCTTGTCAGTGCCTTAAACTGCATGTAGTCAACACTGGGTGCAAACAGCTGCCCTCACTTCCACACAGCACTAAGATCAGCTTGGCTCATTCTTGGAAGTGGCTGCAAGACAATGCAACACAAATCTGAACACAAAATCTGAACACAAAATGATAAAGCTCATGGCTGTGGGAACTGCCTGTTCTCCACACACAGGAGAAAGAAGGTCTGAACTTCTTCCATGACTATGACTAGACTTCTACTCTGGTGAGCAATTAGCAGTGCAGCTCACATGCTTAAGGGCCATTCACTTTCTATAGGCAGATCTTGACATCACACACTGTAGAGGACAGGGACTTCTCAACCTGAACTATGCTGTGGGCATGTTGTTCATGGAAAAATCTAGGGGGCTTTTGCCTCAGCATTCTAATCCTGGAAGGCAGCAGTCATGCAGAGTACTGGGGATGCCCATTTCTATGAGGAATTTAAGTGTCTAACTTCAGTCATCTGAATTCACTCAGGGTATGTGCCTGAATAGACTGAATACAATAGACTTGGTATCATCATGCTCTTATTTCCCTGATGAATGTGCAAGTGACTTACATGTCACCTGGGGGGAAAAAATGTCATGTGGTCCCTAAAAAAAATTCTTTTAATTTTATGGAAAGTGCATATATTTCAGAAGTGGCTAATCTTCACTTGTATACAGACTGGTAGCATAAACTGATCAGAAACAAAAAAAAATTGTATATTTTTGACCACCTTTCTTTCTTTATCTAGTTACTGAGTATACTTCTGATAGTAGCCAGCACCAGATGCTTCTGAGAAAGACAAAAGTAGCGTAATCCTATCAGGGAATAGCCACAACACATGGAAAGCTTCTTCAAAGCTCCATCAGTTTGCAATTGGTTTATGGTAAATTAGAAGCAAAGATTACATCCGTAATTCTGAATTATCTTGTTTGAAGCGCTTATGACATATGTGTATCTGCGTATTACCATCTTTTCATAGGAGTCCTTCCAGTATGCTGAGGAAATCAGAAACCTGGGATATTTCTACCACATTTAATGATCTGTGCTTAGATCATTCATATACATACTTGTTTCCAAAAATGCTATATTAATAACTCCAGATATGTGGTTGTGAAGATCTGCAAACATACAGATTATCTTTTCTTTAAAATGACAAAAAAATGGGCTGGCAGTTCCTGTGAAAAATGTGGTAAGTATTAATGAAGAAGAGAAAGGCCTGCAGAAGTTGGAAATGGCAAAGCTCATTGCCTCTGTATTGAAAGAGAACTGATAAGCAGAACAAAAACTCCATCTGAATAAGGGAAGCATAACTTATCACAGTTTTAGAAATAAAAATGATGTGGGATAGGAAACAATCACAAAGAGCCTAAATTTACAGGGAGTTTTATTTTGATGATGCTGGCACAAAGACATTTGATTTTTTTTTTTTTTTTTTCATTTCTTTACACATGTAAGACTGCTTTTCCCATATTTTCAGTATGTCACACAGGCTATCATTTCTACCCACTGAATCTAAAATGACTGGTTCAGTGACTTATGCATCTATTACTTATCAGAACTCAATATTAACATTTTGGGAAGCCTGAATGGGAAGTCTTTATGATATCTAAGTTCAAGTATTAAGAGATAATCCACGAAGAAAAAAAAAAAATGCTTTGTACTTTTTTTTACTTGGCAAATTTACCTTGTAAATGGAAAATTTATAGTGCAATTAAAAAAATATTACAAAGTGAAAGAAGAAAGGTACATAATACAACTTGTTACCAAAAAGTTGTAATGAATAAATGAATAACTCCAAGAGGGAACGTCTGTATAATGTACCACCAGCATTATGGGTGTGCATGTGATGATGTGCAGAGCTAGGCAGGATCATTTCAATAAATAACTAATAAATAACTAATGAGTGTTGTCTCAAACACCCTCTAGTGATGTAGCTTTCCTGTTCTTTAAAATCTGATGTTCAAATACTTATTCATTTATATGCTACAGCTGCCCCGAGCACTGCTCAGTTCAGATGACTGCAAGCTTTTCAGTGTCACATACTTTGCTGACAACTAGAAGAAAGCTCTTCCAATTAAAATATCCCATTTATGCAAGTGAAGAGAAGCACCAAATAAGAGAAGCACTTTCAAACAACTTGGGAAAAGATGCCACAGAGGGTATGTCTTTAAGCCCAAATTTTAAAGCTTCAAAAATAGGTATAAACAAACCAACAAAAAAGCATTTACTCTATTTCATCCAAATATTAAGAGGTACTTGACATATAGTAAGGCTTATGACAATATTAGGCACCTATGCCTCCATATAAAATTTCAAGCGTGTATCTGGTAGTATCTTCCTTCTGCACAAAATATTCCCTTGTGAAGTTATGCACAGAACTATGGTACACACGTAAATAGCAAAACACTCTGGAATTCCACTGGATGATGTCAATCTGGACTTCATCAAGACTTCTGATGCTGTTCTCTCAAGATAACCTCATAACCCTCAAGCTCAGGAAGCAGGTGGTGAGGTGGATTGAGAAGCGACTGAATGGCAGAGCTCAGAGGGTTGGGACTGGTGGCACAGGTCTATTTGGATGCCTGTACCTAGCAGGGCCTAATACTGGGCCCAATCTTATTTAACTTATCATCATGGAGTGCCTCCTCAGCAAGTTCACTGATGACACAAAAGCTGGGAGGAGTGGCCAAGTGCTGTGCAACCCTTCAGAAGGACCTTGACAAGCAGGAGGTGTGGGCAGAAGGGAACCTTCTGTAATTCAACAAGGGCAAATGCAGGAATCACCCCAGGCCCCAGCACAAGCTGTCCATGAGCCAGCAGTGCTCTTGCAGCTAATAAGGCGGATGTTACCCTGGGGTAAATTGGGAAGAGCACTGCCAGCAGCTCAAGGGAGGTGATCCTGCCCCTCTGTTCAGCCCTGGTGAGGCTCATCTGCAGTGCTGTGTCCAACTCTGGGCTCCTCAGCACAACAGGGACATGGAGCTCCTGGAGCAGGCAGCTCCTGTTGAGGGCTATCATTAGGGGACTGGAGCACTTCACTTAGGAGGAAAAGGTTAACAGTTGGACTGAGTGACCTCAGAGATCTTTTCCAACCTAAAAAATGCTGCAATTCTGAAAAAGGCTGAGGGAGCTGGCCCTGTTCAGCATCAAGAAAAGACAACTGAGAGGGGACCTCATTAATGCATGTAAGTATCTGAGGGGAAGATGTCAAGAGGATATAGTCAGGCTCTTTTTAGTGGAGCTGAGCAATAGGATGAAAGACAAAGGGCCAACAATGGAATGCAGGAACTTTCACCTGAATATAAGGAAGAATTTCTCTCCTGTGAGGAGACTGAGCATAGGAACAGATTTTCAGAGAAACTTTGGAGTCCCCTTCTCTGGAGAAAGTCAAAAGCCATCAATACACAATCTTGAGTAAGATGCTCTAGGAAACTCTGCTGGAGCAAGGAGGTTGGTTAGACTACTTCCAGTGGTCCCAACCTTACCCATTTTCCTGCGTGGTGCTGCGTGGAGTCAGAAAATGGGTGTAGCATAACTCACACTGTTTTTTAAGATCATGAAATGGAAAGTACTATGCAAATATTTGTTAAGATATTTGTTAAGATTTGTTAATTTACTTCAGAGTTTCATATTTTCTGCTCTTCAGTTATGTCACCATTTAAAAATGTGTAGCTTCCAGAAACATTTTCCCTACCTTTATAATGCTTTGACACGTTGAGAGTGGTAAACCAACCAAGCTGGTCCCATTGATTGACATAATCTGGTCCCCTATGTTCAGCTTCCCAGATTTCTCTGCTGGTCCTCCATGCATCATGTTGGCTATGATAACTGTAGGCAAAATAGATCCCCAGCCAGACTCCACAATCACCACACCTAGGATTTCTCCCTTTTGCTTTTCAATGTAAACCTGTACAATAAGAAAAAGTGTTAAAAAAAATAGTTTATTTCACACCTATAGAGCTAATATCATTCCCTTCCAAACACTCACAATCCCAACAAATATACCCCTCTTCATTTGCAACCTTCCTTCCTAATTCAACGGCAAACAAGATAGGGTACATTGTATTCAAACATTAAATGACACACAATACAGATTTAGTGCAAAACACCCCTCAGAAGCCAATTCTGTATATGAGCAGAAGAAACTGCAGTGACGGAAACCCTGGTGCCATGGGCTTTGGTGGACAAAGCTAAATAAGAAGAGATTTCAAGAGTTTACAACTTTGCATTGGAAAAACATTACCTGTGTGTTCCAGCTGCACACTGGTTCATTTTTATTAAGCAAGCTGCAAAGACTTCTGGCACATACAGTTAGTTAAACCCTGGAATCAGTTATGTTCATAAACACCTCCTTTAAATTTTATGTTGTTTACTGTAATTTTAAAAATTGTATTAATCTGTTAATCTGCTTGAAGTTCACTTTAAAACATGTCTGAAAATTGTTTGGTAAAAAGAACAGAAACAGATGGTAAATCAGTTGACTGCTGATAAATTTGGGATACACTGTTTGCCTTTGAAACAGAACTGATGACAGGGTGTCCTATTAGGGAGGATATTCTAGACTAACAGATAATTTTTAGGAAGTATTAATGTTTTTTTAATTTCTTCCAACACAATCCTGCAACTGATAAAGAGTAGCTGAATACTTGTGGAAAAAGAGACATACATCTTTGCAATTTTCAGATTTGGAGAAGTGAATCAGATCATCATTGTACATGTCCTGGGTATTAAGCAAGTCGCTGTATTCCTTCTGGCTAAGGTCTTCTGGGTTGATTCCATTTGCCCTCAGAAATTCTTGGTAGGCCACACTAAATGCTTGACCTATGGACTGTGCAATCAGCTGTGCCTGTAGCAGTTCCCAGAGAAGTGAAAGAAAAGAAAAAAGTGAAACACTCTGGTGATCATGACCACTGACACTTTCTGTTACAATCACACTGTAAAATGCATCATCAAGTTGATGAACCTACAAGTTAACACAATCCAGTCTAAAAAAATATTTGTGCCCTACAAACTAATTTTAAAGACCCATAAAATGTCAACACATTTAGCTCTCCCATGAATGTAGTTCAGTAAGCAACTCTAAATTATAAATATTTGAAAGAAAGACATCCTTACACAGGTAAGAACTGCTAATATAAGTGTAAAGGTAGAGCCACTGCAGTGACTGCAGCTTGTCCCCACAATTCTTCCCACACATGCTGCTCCCAGATAGCTCTCCCTTCCAGCAGAGGCAATGTCATTCTCTGACAAGCCAGCAGTGAAAATGAAGTAACTACTAGGAAACACACAACCACATTTAAATGGGTATTTCCAACTTTTCTTACCATCCTTTAAAACATTCATAGTGACTACTCCTACCTCAGCCTCAGACAAAAAAAGAAAAAGGCAGCAACTAGTGACCAGATAAAGCCCTTGAAGTAACTGCAAATGGTCATATGCACCTCCTTCTTCACCCTGCTACTACCTTCAGCCTCTATCCCCTACACTTATTTCCCTCCTTCCAACTTGCACAATCCTGCCAGTTCTCTGCCTCTTTCCTACCTGTTTTTTGTAGGCACCCTCTTGCACCTGCAGCTTCCCACAGTCTTGTCTGCACCCAAAGCCACCAAATGCACCACTCACTACACTGCATTGTTCCACCGTGAGCTGTTTTGCTTCTGCAGCTGTGGGAGAGAAACTGGGCAGCAGACAGATGTGGGGAAAACTCTGTGCCAAGCAGGGCCAGAGGGAAGCCTGCCTTTGACACAGTAATCACGGTCAGGCAAGTAATGGGCAGGAGAGGAAAGGACAGCATGTTGCAGAGTACTGCTCTGGATAGGTGGAGCAACCATGCAGTGAGCACTGTGTAGTGCTTACAGGAGGTGGCTGTGATGTGCATCAAAACAGTGCTGGCTGTGGCAAAGGCAGGGAAGACAAATGGAGAGCTCCACAGCTTACTGTGGAGTCTTGGCAGAGTGTGGTAATGAATGAATGCTGCGCCAGGTACTTTTATTTAATACCATATTTAAAGTTCAGTTTGGTCCCTAATAAAGGAAAGATTCCCAATACTGAAATAAAAATCATATAGTAACTTAAACAGCTTAAACCAGCACTAAACCTGCTGATGAGAACAGCATGATTACTGGTGCTGAAAAGACCAATATGTGTATATTACCAAAGCTAAGATCAAGCTAATTTTGACAGCAAGAACAAGACAGCAAGAAAAGGAGAAAACTACAACTCCATAACTCAGTAACCAAAGGGAAGAATGCAGACTTGACATTCATACACATGTCTCTTCATTCCAGGAAGAGATCAACTTCTACTTAGAAACCCAGCACTTGAACATATCACAAAGGTTCAACTCATTTAAAGATACACCCCTAAATACAGGTGAAAATCTGGTGCTGTCCTCCTTAGACAAAGACTCATCCAAGCAGAGACCAACACCCACCCGCAGGCTTACAGCTTCTGTTTCACTTACTGTGTAGATTCTGTCAAGTACCCAGCTGTCCCAGAAGAAGAAAAGACAAGTTTTATAATAGAAACAGGCTGCATTACTTCACTGCAGGTAAAAAAATCTTTGAAGCTGCCATTTGCTTGCTGCTACAATGCTTTCATTCTGTTAGAGACTTTGTATTTGAGATAAATTTTGCAAGTGACCTGTGAGCTATAAACCATGACTAAGGAGAGTTGATATAAGCTGCAGCTTCTCAGCATATTTTCCCCATCAACAAGCAATGTTTTTATTTTATCTACAGGCATTTCACAGGCCAATTGGATCTACAGGCATAGAGAGGATCCCATATGACACAAATACAGGCTGATTAAAACAAACCATAGATTGGGAAGCTCATATTTCAGCTAGCCAAAGTATTAACAGCAGCCTAGGAAACAAATCCGGGAAGTATGGATCCTGCAAGGGGTCAGACCACCTGATGGTGAAGGAAAATAAGCCCCAAACTCTGTCACCTGACAGTTTGATTTCAGCTTTTTCAACTGGCCAGGAAAAGAGCAAGCAGCACCCAAACTTGTGACTAGAAACACAGGAACAGCAGCTTCGAAGTGGGTGGCTTGTCAAATGATATTAAGCAAAAAATGCATCAGCTACTCTCTTTCACACCAGATTCTTAAAAGGCTTTGCAAAACAGGCTTACATGTTATTTTGTGGAAATAATTCATAATTTTTATACTCTGTCAATTTTGGTCCGGGACTACTTTAATCAGTGCTCGTCCTTTTTAACTTCAGCAGTGGGTTATGTATATACATTCATGTGCAATCAGATAATATATTCAGACACCTGAATATAATCTGTTTAGAACATTATATAAAATAAAATCAGCTCCTTATTCAAGACAACCTTCCCATCTCAAAGTCCTTGATGCTCACTGCAGATTGGAAGACGTGAATACTTTATAAGAAACTGATATTTTCACTTACTTCTCTTGAGTTTGTTATAATTTCCCAAATTATTAAGCCTAACTTGACTATGATCCTAAAAACCACATATCTAACCACTTCAATCTGATAAGCTTGATTTTACTTTTCAGTTACTGAAAGTTACTTTTTACAAGTGCGTAAAAGTTAAAGATCAGCATAGTGCACAGCAAGTTATACACACTGATTTTGAAGACAGGTTGCAAATCCTGTGTAAGGTAACTTCGTCCTGTGTAAAGTAACTTAAGTGTTCCATAGATTAAAATTTAGTCATTTGTGTCTCTATTCAGCATATTTGGAGACTGCTGAAATGACAATCTTTTTCTGCTGGCCTTTTGATATGATGACAGCAACTATAGTCCCAACACAAACCTCCTGAAAAACAAAAATTACCTTTCTGGTAATCAATCAAAGATTGATCCTCAATGAAAAACTTGGGAACAGAACTGCCCTATGAAAATAAGCACCTCTGATAGACTTTCCCTCTCTTATGCATAATTTGAGCTCGTATTTGTAACCTGAAGTAACTGGATCCTCAGATCACTGCTACTGGAAGGCACTCCAGAAGCTTTAAAATGGTAAGCATTTCTATAAGCACCAGTTTCCTGTGACTTGTCAGGTGCAAACATAAATGTAAGTTCCTCTGCTTAGATGAAATATTGGTTGCAGTTAAAAAACAAACAGAACAACTCACAATGGACTTTGGGCCTTTTAAAATGTGCTTACTTTTCCACTCCTAGAAAATTACAAGACAATGTAATTGCTTACATCCTCAGACTCAAAGACATGACAAATCATTTTGTACTGCCTCTTTCCGTCTTGAGAGGGGTGAGATGCTTCCACATTATCCTGGGAGTTGGAGCGTGGCATTCGCCTGCGAGCCATCAAAACAACTATATTTCCTATATCAGCAATGTAAGAAATGGTCCGCAGGGGATGATCCATCATGGTTTCCTGGGGAATAAGAAAACCAACATAAGCAGCTGCTTCAACTAAGTTCTTATTGCACATCTAGTATTATCAAAACACACAAATAGCTGTAAGACTATTCACTCTGTTAAGTGAAGTCTGTAATACCTGTCATGCATGAAGGGAGATACAAATAGAAACCAAGAGTTTCACTTTCCAAAACCAAAACAAAGAGAAAGTTTTACAGGGGATTTTTTTCTGTGGAAATGCACATCAAGACCTCAATTGCAGAACCTGCATATGCTGGGCATGTATGTGAACAGGACTATCAACAAATTATTGCAGCTAAACATTTTGAGCTACTCTGTGCACAATCAATACTTGATGCAGCATGGTTCAGAAGACATAAGCTGACTGCAATTATCTTACCCACAAATTCTAATAATTTCTACAGTCAGACACACCAGAGTAATGACCCGTATGACATGGCTCTTGACCATGGATTTCTGATTAGAGGGGTACAGAAGAGCCAAAACATTTTACAGACAAATTTTAACATGTAGGTGGAAGTCTATTCCAGTAGTCTACTCCAACAATACCAACAAAGTATTTTGTTTATGTTTTTACCTGTGTGTCTGCATTCAGTACTTTTATTCTCTGTGTAGAAATGAAGAGGTCCACTTCAGTCATGGGCTGAGATTCACCTTCTGGAGCCTGCAAATAAATGGATTAGAGTCAAACAAACACATCAGGTAACATACTTACTAATAATGATGTTAATTCACGTACAGGGGTGCACTAAGACACAGTCACCAGAACAGAAATGCAGGATAGAGTATTAGACTGCAGAAGCAAAAGAGAAACACAAAGATGTGGAAACTATATCATATACGTGAAAGTGAATTGGGTATTGTTTGAAAAAAAAGTTAACCTCATAAAAGCTTGCCTGCTATTTTTCCTGATTCAGTAAAATTATACCTGACTGCAACATGAACTATGAAGATTTCTTAAAAAGCATTATGATTTTACCATTTTCTGCACACTATGAAACCCACTTCAAATAAGGTTTTCATACATGGCATAGAAAGGCCTAACAGCATCTCCTGCCTGAGGAATTTCTATTTGGGCTAGCAGTGGCTGCCAAGACCAATGGAAAAACCTGTACCACAGGAGGTACTGTTTGAGCTTTTCATAATGCAGTTCTGGCAAGAAGACCTTCACAGTCAGACAACATACTTTCCAAGCAGTAACCCACTTTAGAAGTCATATTTTGTTAATAGAAAGCAAACATTTGCAATATTTTTTAAATTATATTTGTTAAAAGGCAATTGAAAGCTCCACAAACAAAACTTATTACAAAGATGAGTCAATCTCAGTATATTACTGTATGTATAGACATAAACTTGTTTTTTTGCATCCAGCAATCCGACATCTCTGTGTGTTAAACAAAGCATTCTTAATAAATATAAAATAAAAAAAAGTAAAAAAAAAAAAAGCCACAAAAAACCCCCACACTTCATTTTAATCCATGATTTTACAAAGTTTAAACATTTGCCGTGTCAGTCTTGATTCTTTAATATGCATTTTGGGTACTGCCTGTAACCATTTAATAAATCCAATCTTTCTTCTATTTCTAACGTGAAATGGCTAATGATAAGCAACAAAAAATGGCCAATCAGGCAACTGATTTCTGAGATATGTCAAGTTGTATGGTGGCTCAGAAATAAATCTGAAAAAACCTTGCTGGATGCAGAAAATAAAACCACAAAATAAAAAGAAAGGAAAAAACCCTCCCAGAAAACAAAAGAACAAGCATAACATCAAGCTGATGGAGTTTGTACTGCACCTTCTTCCTGCTTTTGGCTAATTTCTGGGCCATCTGCTTAGCATGGAACAAACAGAGACAGGAGAACAGTTAGAGAAGAGCTTACAGAGACTCCAAGTCAAGCAGGAATCTACAAACTAATGTCAGGGCTCACAGACTACTAGCTGGTCTAAATTAGTCCCTGCTTAGATTAATTTGCTCCTTTTGCTTTTAGCTTAAAAATTTCATGTTTAGCACAATTAATTTCAGAAATGAAAAGAAACAGCACCAAAAGAGTCAAGAAGAACACAAAAGGATTTTTTTTCACTTAAAATGTTACTTGCAATAAACAAGGTTATTTTGTGAGCAATTGTTTTTGAGGTTTGGTGAGGGGGAGGATGGTTTAAGAAACATAACAGAGCTTCCCCTCACTTACAGCAGTGTAAACCATAATATTATTTCTTTTGAAGGCACACCAATGTAAAAGGTAAGAGAAAAATTTATGCCTTATTTTTACAGCTTTTTCAGATCTCATAGTTCAACAGACTTCAAAAAAATAACCTCCCTAACAATATGCTACTTTTTCCTGGAAAAATAAAATGACAAAAGGTTACTATCACCTTCATTTTCTCTTCCTTCTGAGCAAATAAATCTGTACCCATGTTCATTCAGTGTCTCTGGTCAACGTATTTTCCTGTGACACCTACACAAAGGTATGTTCACACTACCAAATTTTTTCAGCTCCAGAAACACCTTAAAAGAAGTTTCTACTAACCAAAACAACGTAATTTTTACAGTGTTGCAATCATGAATTCAAACCAATGGTGAACTGAGCTTTACAGAGCTGCTCACTGAAAGAATGCAATACTCACCAGGCCAGCAGTTAGGCCTTAACTTCAAACAATAGCAGCCTCTTTGGTACTTAAATTTACAGGTGTGCTTGAGGTAGGAAGGAAGCTTACACTTAACAAGCTTCATACAGATTCAGCACTAACTTCTTTTACCAAGAGCAAACAGGAGGCCTGAATCACAAGACATATCATAGATTTTATACTGATGCTCACAACCTAAATCTGTCAGATCTTGTCTAAACAAACATGAAACCAGCCACTTGAAGTTTAGGCCAACCTGCTTATTTGCAAATAGAAACTTTCTCAAACTAGCTTTTAGTCACCTTTTTCAAACTTAGAAGTATTTTGTAGCCTGATAGGTTATTTTGCAAACTATTGCAAAAGCAATTAAAACTGCCTTATGCGGCAGACTCTTCATTACATTACTCTCAATTTAAATTAATAGTCAGAAATAATATACTTGTCTTGAGTAACGGCTGCCTGTCCTACACTGGGCAAGGAGGAGACACTCCTGAGAGAGAGCATTTAGATTGCCTTCCAAAATCAAGCTTTTCTTTCTCACCCTTCCCAAACTTTAGAATGATGGACCTCCCAAAAGAAGAAAAGCACAGGCCAAAATGAAGAAAAAGGGGGGGAAAAAAATCTTTGAGCTACAGCTTTACAGTGAAGAATCAACAATTTATCAATATACACTATGACTCAATTTACTGAAAATTCTGTTCTTCAAATGAAAGCATATTGAAGAACTACTTTCAAATATTTCATAAAAGTAAGACAATGATATGGAACAAGCACTTTTAATAAGTGATTTAACACTGCATAGAAGTGTCACAAAATAACTTATGGTCCATGAACAACAAAAAATAGGATAATTCTATGCAAGATACTTTATTAGACAAATCCTCTTTATCATGACATTATTTTGCTAACTCAAATGAAAGATTCTGTATTCCTAGAAGAAAAGAACAAATGGAAAATACTTAATATACACTTTTTTTTTTTTTTAATATACAGAATTCATTATTTTCCTTTAAGGTAAGTGAATGTATTTATTTATATAGATGCAATTTCCAAAATTACAGAACATTAAAACCCAGTAAGCTTCTGCTTTTGCTACAGAGAGGTCCTAAGTTCAATCCATTTAGTCTCTACAAAAAATGCTCTGCAACTGAGTACTGAGAGGACACTGAGTGTGTGAAAATGTGTGAAATACTAAACTAAATATCCACATATGGATTCTATCTCAAATTACACTCAGAAATCAAACCAGGTGTTACCTAGAAATGTTCAAACCCGCCACACAGCAAGCTACAAGTGCCTCCTAATGAAATACTCCTAACTACATTTGATGAACACCTTCAAAGCAGTATATCTGTTTTAACTTAGCTGGACTTCATAGAGATGAAGGCCAAGCAAGAAAACACCCAGCTCTTGTACTTCTAACTGAAAAGATACTTATTTAAAGAAGAATGGAGAATTGTTTTCAAAGTCTGTTCACATTCCAAATGAATGAACATGTGGCCTGAAGGTTCTGCTCAAAGGAAGGGATCAATAAAATCAAAAGGTATAGTTAAAAAATAAATCAAAAGGTACAGTTATGTGAAGGTATAAATAGCAGGGATTAAACAAAGCCCTTTTTAATACTCAGCTTCAAGTTTGTGTATTTTAAAAGCTCATTCTTAATCATAAGCTTTGAATGGAGAAACAGTTGACATGCAGTAAGTACAGCACTCTGTAAACAAACATGAGTAGGGCACAACCTTCATAGTCACTGTGCAAGTCATAATTTACACATGTGGGATATAGAATATCTGATGCAGTGATGAATCTGCCAGCAGGAAGTCCATCTATCATAATGAATTTCTCTCTGAAAACATTTAGCTTTAATGGCAACCAGCAACAAAACTTGCCAAAGCCAACCCTAATAAGCCAAAGAGCCCAAGGTGCAGGGGAGTTGCCTGAGCTTTACTCAGAAGCAGAAAGCAATAGCTGTCCAAGAAGTGTTCAAAGGTATTGTGTACAACGTAACACAAATCAATAATTTTCTGAAATACACCAAGTTTCAGAAAATTAAATATACCAGCTAGGGTTCTACCAGCTCAAAAATGCAATCACTTGGGCCTCAAGCCTGAAAAAAATATACTGTAAGCAAGGATATGCATGCCTGCTGATTTAGAAAGATGTACAAGTTACAGGGTTTATGAGTGAAATGCATTAAATAGATTTCTTCTGTTCTGAAACACAGAAATGCCGAGGCATAACAGAATCCTCAGAATGGTATTTTGTTAACAAATTTTTACAAAATATTTTTCATATCAAAAAAAGATTCTATACTCCTACACCTCATAGGCCCAGTTTGTATCAATTCTGCTTCATTTTTGCCCACCATATCCCTGCAATCCTTTTCGAATTTGTACTCCTACACAAGCTTTACCTTATAGGTGCAAATACCCTATGCAGCCCCAGGTTCAAGTCCCACTCCTGATACCTATTTGCTATGATACTTCATGCTAATCTTTCCTTTCACCCTCCAGTGACACGTCCCTCCAAGATCCAGCCTCACCAAAGTCTTTGTTTCTCTCCCTTTTCTTCCTTACCTTTAGTTCCCTTTCATTCAAATCAGACAAGTTTTCTAGCACACCACCAAGCATCAGGAAGGCACACAAAGAGACTACTAAACAGAAGGGCACAGTCTTATTTGCCCAGAACAGGAAAAAAACAGACTCTACAAGGAAAACTCTTCACCACAGGTTTGGGGAGAACTCACTAGGACCTGCCATTGGTAAAAAAGCTTCATAAAACATATTTTTAAAGAATGTCACTTAATCCAGAGTCTCCAATGAACAAAAATAAATCACTCTTTTGCAAAAGGCTCAGTAGTTCAAGTTAGTGAAGACTTCTACAGAGATGGTGGAGGATAATCTCTAACAGGAAGGCTACATTCCTGCCTTTTCTAAAACCTGAGTGTGTTAAAGATTATCAGAGACAAGATTACAAGAACTATGCATTTGAACACCAGCAAAATAACAATTTTTGGAAGTTGTCTCAACGGCTCCATTTGGAGCTTCTGTTTCAACGTTACATACAGAGACTAAACTGAACACCTGCAATGGAAAGCACTGGAGGGATTAACAAGTGCAAGAAGCATCAGCTGACCTTAACAGACAATAGTATTGGTCTTGCTGATAACCTTCTCTCCTCTTCCTTTCTCTTTTACACAATTGCACACCAAATCTGAGTTGGAATCCAAAATAAAATATACAAAAGAAAAACACACAGAAAATTCACAGAGTTGGTTGTGCTGATTAGCTGAATCAGCAGAAGATTAAACTGTGTGCCTGCTAGCCAGTCATGTATGGGTAGTGGGAATGTTGCAGCATCCTGTACAACTGTGCAATACTTCATCCACACACCTTAATTTCAGCTGACAATGTCATAATTGTAACTTACAGTACAGCAGCATTCCCATTGCTGAGAATGGCCAGTACAGAAATCAGTTGGAATTTCTCTTTCAAAACAAAATTTTTCAGATTCCAGGATAAATTCTTTTTTCTACACCTTTTTTTTTTTTTTAAATTAGTTCACAGCTCTTATGTGTGGAGAAACAAGTATCCACAACAGGGTAGAAAATAACTGCAGTCATTACCACAGTAGCAACTCCAATGAGTGCCAAGCCAGAAGCAGCTGCAATACTTACTAGTTACTTCCTTAACCTGTTTTCCCTCCACACCTAGATAATACTTCGACCACTATTCACTTCAGATTCTGGTTTAGTGTACACAGCACAAATATTACCATAGGGAATTAAAATTACTTGATAACATCCCCTTATCAGTCTCGTTCCAAAAGCAGCATTAGGTATATGATTTATTTTGCAGAAGGAAAAGTGAGACACTTCTCATTCTGAAACTACAGATAACCCCACCTGGAAAAATCACTGCATAAGAAAGAAGTTCATACCCACAATCATAAAGCAACCATACAAGAAGCAGCAGGAATTACTCCTCACCTTAATCCTGCTGACAGCTTCCTGAGCCTGCATCATTCTGACATTCTTGGATGGAGTTTTATCAGAAAGGAGTTGAGTTGAACCAAGGTAATTGGCAGCAAAAATGATTCCATCGATTAAGTCTTCAGGATCACAAGGTCCAGGAACTGTAATACAGGAAAGCCATCACTGAAGGCAATCATGAAACACAGTGAAACAGCAGAACTCTGACAACTTGAACCTGCACCTGACGGCTGCAAAACCTCCTCTGAAATACTTCAGTTTAGCATAACAAAAAGGCAACCAGTACTTTCAAAGGCACAAAACATCAAACAAATTATTTCAAAATTTTTGGTGGGTTGACCCTGCCCACCAAAGCTCTTCTATCACTCCCCTCTGCAGAAGGACAGGGGAGAGAAAATATAACAAAGTCTCATGGGGCAAGACAAGAACAGGGAGCGATCACTCGTCAGTTACTGCCATGGGCAAAACAGACTCCACTTGTGGAAACTTGTTTAATTTATTATTAATGAAGTCAGAGCAGAATAATGAAAAATAAAAACAGATGCTCCAACACCTTCCTCTGTCCCTTCCTTCTTCTGGGACTCATTTCTATTCTCAATTTTCTGTATCTTCTGCATCCAGAGGCACAGGGAAATGGGGGCTGTGATCAGTTCATCACATGCCGTCTCTGATGCTCCTTCTTCATCATGGGGAAGACACCTCACACTCTTCCTCTGCTCCAGAATGGGATACCTCCTACAGGAGACAATCCTTCAGAACAGACTGCTCTGATGAGGGCTCCCTACGGGGTCACAAGTCCTCCCAACAAACCTGCTCCAGGCAGGCTCCTCTCTCCACTAAGCCACATATCCTGCAAGGAGCCTGCTCAGCCTGGGATTGCCATGGGGTCACAGCATTCTTTCTTTGGGCATCCACGTGATTGGTATGGGGTCCTCCAGGGGCTGCTTGTGTGTTCCACTGTGTACCTCAACTGGCTGGAGAGGCACAACTGGCTGACCATGGTCATCACCATGGGCTGCATGGGAATCTCTGCTCTGGCACCTGGAGCACCTCCAGTCCTTCCTACTCCACTGACCTTGTCTTCAGAGATCTTTTTTTTTTTTTTTTACACAATCCCAGCCCTTTACTCTCTGGCTACAGCTGCTGTGGTGCAGAGTCTTTTTCCCCTTCTTAAATACAATATCCCAGACGTGCTACCACTGTCACTGATGGGCTCAGCCCTGGTCAGTGGTGGGTCTGTCTTGGAGCCAGTTGGCGCTGATTCTATTGGACAGGCAGGAAGCTTCCAGCAGCTTCTCACTTCTTCTAGCCACCCCACAACCTTGCTATGCAAACCCAGTACAACATCTCTCCAGCAAAAGCTACAATTGTTAATCCAGCCTGTTTCTCACAATAGCTCATTCTTTTCTGAGTAGGGATCAGCTTGGAGCAAAATAAACTGTGATTTTTCACTTGATAAAGGGACAGACACAGTTACTCAGCTTACTCCTCACCCACCAAAATCAGCCCTGCAATTCTGAGACTAACAGTGACAAGCAGAAAGAGAAAAGGTGCAGTTTCATAGCAGCAATCAGCCTCTTTCTTGCTTGTGCACTAACCACAGTTGGTGAAACAAGCAGATCAACATCCCTTGGAAGGTTCTACATATACTCAATATTTTTACTCATACCCTACTCAATATTTTTATGCCACAGACCTTTAAAAAAAGTAGTCTTAACAAGGATACTGTGGTAAAGAACTGAGTTAAATAAAAACGTTATTAAATACACAAGATATTAAATACACAATGCACGGGCTCTCTTCTTGGCAAAGCAACTCTCTTAGTCCATAGATTCTTAGAGATCCAACACCCATCAAATTTTGTGGAAAATGATGGGGTGTAAAGTGTTCATTACCAAGCAAGGCAAATCCTTACAAAGCAGCACTTCTGATTTGTAAGATTTTTGGTGTTTGGCAGCCTTACCTAAAAATTTTATACATTAAAATGTTCCATTTTGATACCATGTTAAAACTACCATGATCCAAAAGGGAGGCTGGTTAAACTGCAGAAACTTCCTGTTCTTAGAAGTAAGGGAAAACTATTGTTGCTCAAGACAAGAGAGAATATAAATAGTATTAAAGAATGCGCACGGTAAATACGTTCACATTTCATCAGAAAACACCTGTGTTTACGTTTGTCTTTCTTTTTTCCTCTAAAAAAAATCAGGGGGTATCTTGAACTACAAGGTGATGGGGCTTTACGTTTCAGATTACTCAGAATGCAAACTTTTTTTCTAATAATAACATATAAGACTAAGAACCCCTCAGAATGAGCACGAGTAGCTTTTGCCTCAAGGAAAAGTAAGTCATTATTATGATTAAAATAAAAAAGAAAGAGCTGGAGCTAAATATCACACTGAAACCATACACACAGACAGAAGCACATGCATAAATCTAGTGAGCAGGCTTGTCTTCTTTTTGATTTCTTTACATACAAAAATTCATGACTAGCAATTTTAAGATGCTCATCTCCAGTGTGCAGTTTGCTCAAGCAGTACGTATCTGGAAAATTCTCAAAATTAAGAAGTCACTTGCATGCACATGACCTAAAGAAATTGTGTTATTTCCTTAGGGAAATTCATGCATCTGGAAGTATTACATATTTACACAGAAATCACACAGCATTTTAAGTGCTGCTATTTATTACTCTGCACATCAAGGCCTCTTCACTACTTCCACACTTTACGTTAAAGGATGTGAAACCCTTTACCATTTCTGATCAAAATGAGAAAAAAAAAAAAATGGGCAAAGGTATAGGACTCCAAGAAAGTGGATATTAAACCCCAAAAAGGTATGTGCTCCAATTGTATCAGAGGTGAACACACAGACAGCATTGCTTTTTAGAACACCTCCTTTATTATCTCTGATAACAAAACTATTACCTCAATGAAAGCCTAGTATAGCTAGTATAGGTGGTGGCAAATTTTTCCTTGGACTGCTGGTGCATATAAATGGAACATTTGTAATTTTAAGGAATTTTGTGCTCGACAAAGAACCAAGAAAATTTTAGTTCACGATTTTATTTTTTTTTCCCTAAGGTGGAGGTAAATATTTTTAAAAGCCCCCTTGATACAGAGGACTATCAAAAGGAGATTAATTTAAAATCTAAGAGAGATCCTTAACTGGTGTAAAATTCCAATGCTTAGCTATGGACTAATTGATATTCTGGCCAGAGACTCCAAAACAGGCAGCTTATACTCTTAAGACTAAAACAACAATCAATTTGCAGTCCAAAGAAAACGATCACATAATCAGTTAAATTCAGCACACTGTAAAGCAATCCAAGGAGTGACAAGGAAGTCCAAATAAAGAATTATATCAATTGTATTTCTAAAATTTCATACTGTCAGAGGAAACTTCTATTTTCTGCTTCTGTCATAACTGCACAAAACTTGTGTTCTTCCTGCAGTATACACAGGATGCAAACTCAGACAAAAGGTAACAGCAGTTCAAGAGGCAGGTAACTTGCTTTTTCACATTGTTCTGAAAAAAACCAGCACTACTGAAACCTTAACTCTGAGGTGAGAAGCAGTATTTAATTAAGACGCAAGTAGCTGTTCAGCAAAGCAGATTTTCACTGGCAGGCCATTGAGCCTGCCAACAGAAATCTATGCTAGACAGAGCACTACAGTCTTCTTGCTTAGTCTGTTTTCCTTCTCTGCACACATTCTTATATGTTGTGTAAATACCACAGCATGTTTTAAGTGATACTGAGGAAAAAAACAGCACAACTGATACAGAAACTATGAATGAAACACTAGAAAATGAAAAGCTCCATGCTTCCAAATTTCTGAAAGAGCACAGTAGGATTTAGCTCAGGTTCTAAATTGCATGCAATTTAATCTAAATCGGTATACCCAGCCTTAGTAGTTCTTCTCTTCAGGAAATAAAAGTAAAATTTTAGACATTATAAATATAGGTGGGTTTTTTGACGTGAAAAAACATTTAGAAACTGTAGAACTATCTTACCTTCAACATATGTTGGAAATGAAGCCAAGCTTTTTCTGGACTGTAATTAAGACAAAAAGGATTTCAAACAGAACATAGCATGCACAAATATGCATTAAAAATTCCTCCATGCCAAAAAAACCCCAAACTTAAATCAGCCATAGTTATTAGTAAAGGTAGAACACCACTTATTATTATTTATATTTAGTATTTTCAAAATCTAAGCACCTACTAAAGTAAATTCAATGCACTCCATTTGTGTTTACCTAGTAGACAATACAGTAAGATCAGACTTCACTTACTTGCTGGTCTTCACTAGTGCATTAATTATCTATCTAATAGGTGCTCTGCTTTTAATAATCAAGAAATATGCAGGAAAGAACATAATACCTCAAAGATACCAGATCTTCCAACTTCAAATAAATGCATACAGGAATATAAAAATTGCAGTTTCCTGTTAAAATCCATGACTGAAACCATCATTAACAAAATACAGTTATTCATTAGGAATGGTTTTAGATTTATCCCTCACATTAACAGAACCTACAGAAAGCTCCCTAGCTTTTAACAGGTTAGGGAGCAGCTTCTATTCTGTGGGATAACCAGATTCACCATGACCTCACCACCAATTGTGCTTACACCATATTGAGCACAAAAACACATTTGGTAGCACCAATCACATAAAGAGTGAAGGAATAAACAGAATCTTGACTTGTGCATGTAAATACACACACTGAAGTAATACCATACATCCTACTGTTATTTTCTGTGAAAGACTATGAGACTAGCCCTTCAGACATCTGAAGGCTACAACTTTCAATGAATGAAATTCACCACTTTGTTTAATCAATAATGTAAACCACAAAAAATGTAACAAACAAAATTGTGTGTGGGACTATATAATTGGTAATGGCTATACTAAAATACCTGCTGCTATCATAGGCAGGTAAGTGGGTAGTAAATGAATCCATAACTGATTGTACTAGCATTAATTCCTCCAATGACTGCTTAATATAATTCTATTAAAAGAAAATCTATACACATTATCAGAATAATGCATACAATCTTCAGTAATTTTCAGTACATGCCACATTTTTTTTCTTTATCACAGGCAACTTACCAGGGTCTGTGTACTAGTGGAAAAACCAGGTAGAACTAGAAAGGTGACTGTTATGTAACAGGTTGACTGACTTAACCCCAAGGAGTCTTCTCCTTTTTAAGATATGGAAAACTGATATAACAAATAATATTATTAACCAATGATGCATGTCTTACTATAAAATAAAATTTGTGAATTAAAAAGAAAAGGCATGTGACACAGACAGCTGAGCCTGTGCAAGCTGTAAGTTCTTTTCACTCCCCATGAAAATTACTAAACTGTGTTGAGAATCCAAGAATCCTGTCCATCAGATTCTGTACTAGCATCAATAAAGATGTCAATAATCAATGATCTGCTGCTGCCAACACGTTTAAGCTGCTGAGAGGACAGTGGCATGTCTTTTCACATCTGTGGCTCCTTCACCTCTTCAGATGAATGGTCCTACTAAACTACCTATCCATATAGACTCCAACAACTGTTTGTAATACTTGCTGATGTAGTGCTAAAGGGGAGATTCAAACACTGGGTTCTGACAGGCATAGAGGACAAATCTCCTACAGACGAGAGGCAGCTCATGTATATAAATATTTTACAAAGTATTTCTTTCTTTTTAAGCAGTGAACAAAATCTATGATACAGATTTACCAACTGTTCAACACTCTAAGCAGCAATTTATTTCCAGGGTAGAGTGGTGCAAACCACCACCATATATGTCCTTATTCTCACTCAAAAGCTTCATTTTTCTTGCTCACTATGCAGGTAGAAAGGCATTATACTAAAACCACTAGAAGAGTAAAGTATCAGGTAATGTTACCAATAGGAGGAAACCTACACTTCTTAATTTTAAATAGCCATGAATAATGAAATATCGAGGTCATTAGTATTTTATTACTTTCAATAATCTTGTTACCATCTGGTATTATAAATTTATATTTAATAAAAAGGTTTCTCTAAGACCGAAAAAATACAGAAATTATAAGGCTGTTTTATCACCTTTATTCCTGCATTAGAAATATTAAAGTGGGAATTATTCCCCATCTGAGGGAAACTAATAGCCCAATACATCCTTACAGTGGAACCTGGTTTACCACCTCTGTAACTATGTGTAAGCACATCGTAACAATTGATATCAACAGTGTTTTGCTTGTTGTTGTTTTTTTTTCCTTTGGGTAATTTTATTGACACGTAAAAATAGCTAAAATATAGAACATATAGTGATAAAGTCTGTAGGGAAGAATCCTTAAGGCTTTAATAAGTTAACAGGAAAGCAGATGAAAACTTAAAGACATGATCTATAGTTGAACACTTCAGAATATGAAAAATTATGGGTTTCTTCAGTCTTTTGAAATTTTTCATTATTTTCTAAATGCAAATGCAGACTGACACAATTACATACATGTTACAAGCTTTCCTATCCTTTGATAATTGCAAAAGTAAAAAGGAACAAATAGATTATTTAATTAGTGTTTAATTTTTAATCCACTTGTAGTAGATCAGGTTTTTAATTTTGGAAGATAACTCATCCATTACTATCAGTAACAATATGGTATTTTGCTACAGTAGTTTCCAGATTGTTTTCAAGTTTATCAAAAAAAGGCAAATAAACCAAATATTTGCAGATTTTTCTGTTTACAGAACCTGCCACTCTACACTAATCCAAATCCTTCTTAAGTCAAATGATTTTCTTTTCATACTATAAGCAGTTCTAGTCATACTTCATTTTGGTGGAACTACTGTAATCTAAAGCACTACCAGGTGAAGGGGAAAAAAACCCTAACTATGTAGCTTTATTCTGAGAAGCCTGGAGTCAGGAACTTAATTCTGACTACGAAGCACTTGCAGGCCGGTTTCTACAACGACAAAATATTAAGCAGCATAATTTATTATGTAATTAGTTTAATTTAAGCACTTTTTCATCTGGCTGAGAAATACTCTTTCTTAGTGGGGGGAAAAACCAAAAGGGCTTCTTCGTTTTCTCTCTGCTACAGAGAGGATGTTGGCTGTCAGTACCCTGCCACCTGTTAAACAAATTTAGTGACAGCTGAACACAGAGTCAGAAATGCCATGACAAAGAGTCTTCAGCATGTTAGAAATTCAGTCAGATAGGTGGGCAAGCATAAGGTAAAGAAGCATAAGGAAAGGAAAAAGAAGAAAAGGGATTACACAGGTACAAGGGAGCTAGGAAAATTAAAAGGCATAAGCAGCATGAACAAGACTGGCTTTTAAAAACGTTTTACTTTACCTCTTTATTAGTGGAAGCCTCTGCTGTACTGCAGACATCCTGGTGATGTTGCCTACTTGATGATTCAGCACCTCGAGGTGAAGAGGAATCTGGAGATGGAGACTAGACATGACAAGAAAATCAAAAGTTATTTTGAGTGCCCAATGTAGAAATTTTTCTTTCATATTCTACATACTATGCTCTAACATTCTAAGAAAAAAATTTAAGGTCACTTAAGAGTAAACTGTGATGGGAAACAAGTGAATTAACCTTAAGCAGCACACAGGGATTCAGCTAAAGTTAGTTTATTTGTCAAACAGGGAAAAGTGAAGAGAAGATTGAAATTTCCCCATAAGTGCACATGCTCCCAGGTATTACTCACCTGAGGTGCTAAACTAATCTAATGTGAGGAGAAGAAGGCCACAGCATTTGTCCATAAATGTTATTCCATTATATCAGAAAACAACATATATAAGGTGTGCAGAGTAATATTGACGTATTCAAGAATTTATGAATATACTCAATGAAAATCTAATACCAGTGTAATCAAGGAGTGGGATTCCTCATTCCAGATAGAGTACAAACCCAGAAAATATTCAACAGTTCATGCTATGAGGTCAATACATACAGATTTCCTCATTCTTCTTCTTTTTCCATAAACAATTCAGTGGAGCAAATATCTAAGTGATTGATCAGCAAGTATCTTGATAAAGGGGAAGAATGTTCTGGGAAAGGATATTCTAATCATAGACAATTTCTGATGAATGCTGGTAATGTGAAAAAGCTGTAGCAAGGTATCTGAAGTACAGAGCAGGGTGCCCTAGTATGATGGTGTGACACAGGAACACAGAATGTGGAATTAATGAAGATGACTGAAATGAAAGAGATCACAAAGCTTTAGCCCAGCAGGCATTTTTAGAGGCAGATTTTAAGGAGCTACCTACAAAACATGTCTGTCCAAGCCAAAATGGAAATCCTCAAAAGGGAAGTCTAGCATTTAGCTACAGCTGGGTATTTAGCCCAATAGACCTGGCATTCTACACTCTCCACTGATGGCAAAACAAGTCAAATGCTATTCTTATCTTTTCATAAACAGTATGACATAGCTTTCCTCTGAGCCAATGAGTCATACCACAAAAGGGATACATTTCCAGGAGTCTGAGCTGGCAACAGTTCCACCCTCATGCTCCGCATCTACTGCAGCTGAAAATTTGAGTTCTATGAAGTAGTTTACAAAAAACCCATGAAACCAAAACCAAACCAAGAACAACTAAAAACCCAAATATCTAAGTTTCTCTTAGCCTCCCTTAGAAATGAAATGAAACAAAACAAAACATAACCCTCTGCTTCTTTCTCTTTACAAACATTCCACTATCTTAGATAATAACTAAGTATTAAAATTATAGTCAACTAATAAAGGCTTCCAAAGAGTTAGGAAGCAATCTTTACAGATATAGCCTGTGTTAAGGAGCCGTCCCTGCGTCTCCCTGTATTTTGAATCACAACTGCAAGCCAAAAGAAGATGCAGCTGTGAAACAATCTCTAGGAAGCTGGCATGTGGTTGCACCATCAGACTGAAGAATTACTTGCCGCAGAGAGCATGTGAGCAGGGGCTGTGGGAGAGATACAGGCTCCCTTGACTTGCTGTGTAATTACCAGTCAACAGTGCCACAGTGATGCAACTGCACAAATGGCAGCTCCTATTTACATAAGGAAGAGTTTTCATAGTGCTCACATTCTTATAATTATGCAGTATTTCTGTTTTAGGAACAAATTTAAAAGGTGCATGATACTATCAATGCAATAATGACATTAATAATAAAGATAATTAATAAATAATAAAGACACTGTAGGACTGAGCTTTAAACATGAAACAAAAAAATCAATTTAAGCATTAAAAGTGGATGTGCACACAAAAAAAAACATTCTTTACAATGGCTGAAAACTCTCATATTCACACACTGAAAGACAAATGATCTAATTTAAACTAGGCAATTAGCATTAAGAAACTGTGCATCATTTGAAATATACTGACAGCTACTCCAGCAGCACTCTAAGTGCCTTTACTCAGCTATTTTTCATCTACAGAATAACAAAACTAAGTTATTACATGGCTTTCTATGTGCTCTGTTTGAATGTCTGCTTAAATATTTATTTTGGAGGAGAAAACCCCTAAAGTAAAACAACAACCAAACAAACAAACACCCTCAAATACACTGAGCCAAGAACCAGAACTACTTAAGCCAAATACCAAACATCTGACAAAATCTGCTGCATGACATGACATGAGAGCTGTCCTTGAAAACATTTGTACAGGGAAGTCCAGTCTTTGAAGAATTAACAATCAGCTCTCTTCGACACCAAAATGCATTTTTAGAGGTACTGTATAGAATGCACAAGGAAAGAATGCAGTCACAGCAATAACAAGAAATATTTTGATGGATCATAGCAGATAGGTAATTTGCACAGCTGCTCTAAACAAACTCTAAAATAAATGCTTAGTAACAGTTTCACTGTCATTTATCATTAACAAAACTAGTTTTAGAAGCCTAACAAAGTTGTTGTCAGAACAAACACAGTAAGGTTACATGATGCACGCTGTTATTAGGCATAGACATCTATCACTGGATTTTTTATTTTTTTTTAGGTGCGCCAATAAAAAAGTGATAGCTATCCCTTTTTCTCTTGAATATCTACTTACATTTTTCTTTCGATATTCAACCTGGTACATCCAAAAATTCTCCATCTCAGTTTTGGTGTTGTTTGACTCTAACTAACATGCAACCCACTCCACCTTCCTCGCTCTTGTGCAGAGGGATTTAGTAACAGAACTTGTAAAAGGAGAGGATTGTGTTGCATCTGACGTATCCAGGTCAATCCAGCTGCTTCCTATACAGTTCATGAAGAGACATGTAATTGACACTGAAACACCTTCAAATACAACCACTTGCTCTTTTTTTATAAAAACAGTGTTGTTTTATATGCTTTTAGCAGCAGATCATTCAAAGAGAGTACAGCTTGTGGGTCACATAGCCACACACAAGACTAGGACAGAGGGGATGAAATCATAGAATCATGGAGTCATAGAATCTTTTATATTGGAAGGGACCTCAACGAGCATCTAAATTTTATTGCCCCTGCCATGGACAGGGACACTTCCCACTAGACTGAGCTGCCCAAAGCCTCATCCACCTGGGACTTGAACACTTCCAGGGATGTGGCACCTGGGCAAACTGTGCCAGTGCCTTACCACCTCCACAGCAAAGAATTTTTCCTTGTATCTAATCTAAACCTTCTCTGTCAATTTGAAGTAGTTCCCTCTTGTCCTATTGTTACATGCCCTTGTAAGAAGTTTCTCACTGACCAGTATCCCCAAGTCCCTACCTTGAGAGCTGCTCTCAATGAGTTCGTCTTCCAGTTTGTGTTTGGGATTGTCCTGGCCCATCCGCAGGGCCTTGCACTTGGCCTTCATGAATTTCATGAAGCTCTCACAGGTCAGGCCCCGCTCCCAAGTGTACCCATGTCCCTTTGGATGGGCAACTCTTCTCTCCAGTGTGTTGACCACGCCACTTAGCTTGGTGTCGGCAAACTTGCCAAGGATGCATTCAATCCCACTGCCCATGTTGCTCACAAAGATGTTAAACAGCACTGGTCAATTTTTTGTACTGAAAATAGTAATTTATTCAGAGCTTTTTTATAATATCATGTGTATGGTTGAATCAACAAATGCTTCAGAAATTCATGATTCACTTAAACAACAGGGCATTATTTGACTCTAATGCCTATAATATTAATAATACTAATACTAGAGGCATTATGGCATAGGTATGGCAAAGTCTCCTTGTACATTAGCTCAGGAGACAACTGGATAAAGTAAGGCTTTCATTTTTTTTTTATTTTAGAGATAGTGTTTTTAAAAGAATCTGTACACACTAGGAAAAGGTCAAAGCACTATGGAATCTTCAGGTCCAACATCCAAGTATAGTCAGATGCATTCTATCACAGGAACTGCCTTTGTCAGGACAAAGATGGCAGTAAATTTCCTTGGTTTTAGGACAACCATGTGCTGGCAGTGCCCTCTATCATTTGTACAGCTCAAATTCTGTTCACTAAAATAAAGACTGAGACCATAGGTTTCAGCTGGCATAAATACTCATCAAGAATGAAGCTAAAAGCTAATGATCATTGGTTGTCTTTGTTGAAAATTTTTTTTTAAGTACAGTACTAAAAATGGTGGGCTTGAAAAAAATGGTACCAACTTAGCACTTTACACACATTTGCATCCTGTGGCAAACCTATACAATTCCATTTATAATTCTGACGTATGGATGAAACAACTTTGTACTGTAATTCTGGTATAACTGCCTCCGCACATAGCCTGTGCACTTCTTCATCTGTTTTCTGGGTGGTCCAGGACCTGCCCCCTGTCAGTTTGTACATACATGTCAGGACAAGGTGACCTGATACAAGGTTACTGGCTGAATGGCTCATTCAGAACAACATATTTGATTAACTGCTATAGGACCTCTCCATATAGGAACTTCAGCCTAAACAGAATACCCCAAAAGGCTCCTCCCATGCCCAAGACAACTCATAAGCATCAGTTATCATTTTAACTACCACCCTGGGTAGTTAGCATCTGAAGTGAGGAGCTCTGTCAACAGTTGGGTCAGGACTCTGACAGATCTAACAGCTAACTCATGCAGTTGCTGCCACTGCAACTGAAATGACGAATCTGCTTATGGCTAAGACACTAGCTGGTAGTCAACAGAAATTATTCCTGCCTATGCAGATAACATTATGTACAACAGTCTTATGTACACATTTAACAAAGGAAGTTTTTTGCAATTACTTTAAGGTAAACAATAGCAATGGATCACACATACTGGAGTGATCACATAGAATCACAACTGTATCTAAGAACAAATGCAGTTCTGGAAGTTTTGGTTTGTGGAATTTTTCCTGATACACGTGATGATGTCCTGCCAAGACAGAGCCTCCTATCACTTGCCAGCATCTGGACAATGAAAAACAATCCCATTTGAGAGATCTGACTCAGTGCTGGCTGCCTTAGCCAGCTGAGTATGGACTTCCTTAGCCATACTTTCAACTTCAAATGCAGTTTTACGTGTCAGTCTGAAAAAACCACTGCGGATTCCTCCTTCGTGATCAAAAAATTTTAAGTATAGCAAGTACTGTTCTAGTATTCAACAGCACAGAAAAATCAAGTTACTTTCATCTCTCAACAATTTAAAAATGTAATCAAACAAAACAACATTCAAGGGGTTATATATCCAGAGCTCACCATAATTTAAAAGCCAGTAACTCATCTGGGAGTGTTTGCCTAGAAGCAGAATAATTGCTAAATTTAAGCTTTCTTCTGCGTGATTGATGAATAAAATACTTTTTGTTTTGGTTTGCTTTGGTTCTTTAGTGACTTTTGGTTTGGGGCATTTGGGGCTTTTTCTTCTGCATAAACTTAAGTCTGGGTATCTCACAAATTATAGAAAACTGACCTATAGCTTGAGTGCTCAACCAACAGTTTAAAAAGATCTGCTCAGAAAAAAACTCAGCAATATACTATCAATAAAAACCCATCTTTATTTCAATTGTTTCCTTTCTCTCTTTTTCCCTCTTAGTTCATTTATTACTGAAGCCTGCTTAATTATTTAAAGCACTTCTCTATTGCCTTTTAATAATACATCACTCCTGCTGTGGAAAAAGTGAGGCAAATTCATCTCCATGAAAACACTGAGGTATCAAAACTGAGAAAATCCTGCAGCTGAGAATGCAAGAGTTGAAATAAAATATACATAATCAAAAACAACAGAGAAGTAAAACAATGCAGCTCAGTTCTGTTCCACTGAAGATTTGTCTTCAGCTCTGAATTTTTACTTCACAGATTTAAACCACCCATATATGGGATTTTACTTTGTATCAGGGTGTATTTTAACATCCCTACACCTCAAATGTCTGCAGAGGAACAGTGACAGGAACACCAGTGACAGGACTTTGCAAAACCAAAGTATTGGCATGCAGAAACAAACCATGTCCTGCAGATCAGCAAAACTTGGCTTTCAGATCTATAAACTCATGGATAACTGAACAGACCTCAGAAAGAAGTCTTGGTAATTGGTTCTTAAATTAATGATTTCTATCTCCAAACCATTGTTTTCTCCTGATTATGGCAGAGTTGAAGCAGGTAGCCTGCTTCTACTCTGTTTAAATCACAGCCCTAAAATTCTACTTGACTTTTTGAGCCTTTCAGTGCTTTTCTCAGTAGGTTTTTGTAATTCCACAACTAAGCAAGACACTCTTCTCAAAGCTCTGTAACAAAGATACTATTTTTTCCATACATTTTAAACGCCAGAATATTTTATTGCATTTTGAATTATCTATTACACATAACTGTAATCCTTTGCACTTGAACATATGAATGAAAATTTATCCTCAAATCCAGATCCATGCACTGGTCTTCTATTTAGACCTTTAAACATCACAATTTCTGTGCTTGGCTAGGCAGATTCACTGCAAGTTTCTAGTGGAGAATCTGAGAAGAATGGTGAGCAAGGGCTACCTAAATGGGATATGGGCCTACCCTTCCAGTGAGGTAACTGTGCATCTTGAATGTATTTTCCTAAAGGGTCTCCCAGTCCACCACCTTCAGGCACAGATGTACTACTACTAGAAGGTTCCATGCCTAAGATTTTTCATAGCTTCAGGTACAAACTTTATTCAGTATGATGAAAAGGCTGAGAAAATTGGGATTGTTCAGCCTGGAAAAGAGAAGGCCTTGGGTGACCTAACCGCAGCCTTCCAGTGCCTGAAGAGTGCCTAACAGAAAGCTGGAGAGAGACTGCATGCAAGAGCATGTTGTGACAGGACAAGGGGGAATGGCTTCAATCTGAAAGAGGGTAGGTAGAGAGCAGATATTAGGAAGAAATTCTTCACTGAGAGAGTGGTGAGGCACTGGAACAGGTTCCCAACAGAAGATGTGGCTGCCTCATCCCTGATAGTGTCCAAGGCCAGGCTGGATGGGACTGTGAGCAACCTGGTCTAGTGGGAGATGCCCCTGCCCATAGCAGGGGGGCTGGAACTAGATGATTTTTAAGGTCCCTTCCAACCCAAGCCATTCCAGGATTCCATGATTTCATGGGTGAACAAAATGTCTCCATTTCACACTCAGAAAAAACAGTCTTGTTCCACAAGAATAAACAATGCAGTTCCATAGCCTTTTCCATCAAGGGTCAGTTTCCTGATGCCACACTTCTCACAGCTGTGCAGCCCTAGCTGCTATTGTATTTGAGAAAGAGATTCTCATGAGGCCATATCCAAATGATGGCATGCTTTGGTTTAAAACGTTTCTGATAAACAGACTTTGGAAATACATGTCAATTGTAGAGATCTCATTTGTTTAGCAAATGTTAAAAAATACTCTTACTGCCTTTATTCAAAAGATACTGAGGATTTTTCAGCTTTTATCAAAAACACAAGTGCAACACCTTCCCCACAAACTCACTGTCCAGACCACCTCTGATTCAAGTGAAAGCATGCATCATTAAACCAGGGTGCACAAGGCACATGGCAGCTAATATTCTCCATTGTTAAATATTAAACAGGTACCTCTTTAAACTACTTATTTATTCACAGAAGTCTGCTACCTGCCTCCTACACCACAGGACTACTGGAGTTTATTACAAGGATCGTTCATGAGCAGCGAGCAATTTATTTTTTGCATACACCTTACCAAACATTTCTTTTGAGAAGAAATACCCAGGAATGACTGATAATCCTGGTAGATTAACCTGTGAACAAAACTGAAATCAGGACATCTTAAATACACACAGATACAATGATCTGTATCTTTCTCACTGTCACAGTCATTGTATGTCTTTCCTAACAGTCCCAAACTATACCTAACTGCAGGCTAGCTGAATGCTTCTGAATTGTTAGCTTCTTAAAACAGTATCTGGACACTTCCAAATGACATCCTACCAAGCATTCTGCTGTGACTGTATTACACAAATGCTCAGCACTGGGGATTCCCCTTCTTGGGGAAAAAAGGCAAAGGAGGCTGTTGTATTTAATGAATCTCAACCACAAATCATTCCTCTGGCTTCACTCATCTCCAGTGCACAGCTTCTAGCTAAATAAAAAGTGATTATTTGTATCTACAGAAGACTTATAAGTTTCAGTATCACATGATTACGATGACAATATTATCATTCAGGTAAGTTCTATCTCTGAAAGAAAATTTGCTAAGAAACAACTTGATGAGAATTTGCTAAGTAGACTTGCAAAATAACGGAAGGCAAAAAATCACCCAATTTGCATTATTTATCTGCAGCAATTTGATACTTGTGGGGCAAGAAAATTGTCTCTGCCTGAGGGTAAAAACACTCATATTTCCAAGTCAATGCTATAAATCAGCCTGATAAACATCTCTGGTATGTACTGGTTACACACTGGTTTACTGGAAAAGCCCCCATCTGAGATTCACTTTTTTTCTCGAGGGAGACAGAAGAAAAATTTACAATTAGATTAATGGACTTCAACTATATTTTTATTACATTGACCACTTATGGTCACTTAGTCAACAAAAGCTATTTTTGCCCAATTTACAGCTAAGCAATTCTAGGAATGCTTCTTTCAAGAAAATGTACCGTTTTTGAGTTGCCATCTAAATTAAAGAATCCAATAAAGCAAATACATACCTCTGCTTCAGGGAAAAACAAAATTCCTACTCAGTCTCAAGTCCCTTCTACAACAAGTCTTCTCCTCAATATGCTAAGATCTTCTAAATTATTTGTGTAATGTACTTCTTCCTTCCAAGAACACAGGCTCTTTGTGCATCTTCAACCATTGTTTCTCTCTTCACTGAGCTATACTAATTGTCATTATAAATCACTGTTTTGATTTCAGTCAGCTGTGAAAATTTCAGTCAGGTTCTTATCATGGTACAAAAAATACTGAATGAGAAATTAAATTTTTGGTGCAAAATGGGAACCCCTATATACTTCAATATGTCATGTATGCAGAGACCAATAAAAACATCTGGTTTGTTCACTCTATGAGCATACCAGACTGAGTCATATCAGCACATCTCAGAAAAGTTCAATTCTGCAAGATGCACCGGGATTTTGGAGAGCAGGTGAAGCAGCTGCGGGAAGAGCTTGGGGCTTTCAGGATCCTCAGCCTAATGTCACCAAGACCATTACGGTACTCTTTGTTACAATCAGTTAGGAAGCAACAGGAAGTCCTTTGATCCTCCAAACAACAACAGTATTTACAGACAATATGGTAAATGTGTAGAAAAAGAGTAGTGTGATCTATTTGAAAATGGGGACAGAAATAATTTTAGTTTTGTAAACTTCTAAAGTTAAGTTAAAAATAACAGTTTCTCACACAAAATAATCTGGGAAGATTTCTTCCTTCACATGACTGCAAACCAACTCTGTAAGAGACGTAATTTTAAAAATATTTGTAGAACTAACTTTTGCTATATAGTTGTTTGGGCTTTTTTTAAGGTTCAATTAGGTTTTCTATTAAGAATCGAGGAAAAAGCCCACAGCACACTCATCACTGTGTTTCCAGTGGTTTTGCAGGAAAAATAAAATCTGGAAACTATACACACGTAAAGAGCTTCATGTGACAAATTCTTGTACAGTTTACCTGGGTTATGCTAAATAGTTAGGTTAGTGTTAAATAGGGAAAAATCTGGCTTCGTGTTAATGTATGTTTACTTCTCTTATGCTTCAGAGTACAAATTTAAGACAAAGCACTTTTTCAAGAATGAGACACAGAACAAGAACATAATGCGCTCTCCTTCACTGCCATTCATGTCACTGTTAAAAGAATTAGATACAGATAACCTGAGAGGTGAAAGCTTAATGTACTCACATCTCCATCTAGTGGCCTCTGGTCGTCAGAATCCCTGGATGGACTGATGTCCTGCCGCATCACCCAGATCGGCTCCTTAGGTTCATCAGGGGTGTAAGGAGAACGGATGGTCCTCGTCTTCACTTCCTCAATAGCCTCTTTAATATCCTTGATGGCCAGTGAAATTGCATCTCTTTTTTCCTTACTGTACCTCTGTACAGATTCTCCTGAGCCAGATATAACTCGAGAACCAGATGTGAGCTGGCCATTACTTTCATGTCCACCACTGACAAGAGTCTGACCGTGCTCCAAACTCTGCTCTGACTCTGGCATGTTTTCAGCTGCCTTGTCTAAGCTCTGGGAGCTCATGCTCTGCTTCACCTCTGCTACAATCTGATCAATATCCTCCTCTTGTTCGTAACTATCCATTCTTGGGTAGGGTGCAAACTCTGCTTCCTTTTCAGGGCTGTCAGACTCTCCATCAGACCGTTCATCATAATGGTGAAGACGGGCACCAAGCGCCTCCTTGCGGTAATTGTCGGCTTCCTCCCTCTCCCGCTCATACTGCTGGATGCCCTCTCTAACATCGAGATCTGGTGTGTCTCCTATTTCCTCATACACATGCTCCTGCAGCCCATAATCAGCGTAAGCCTCAGCATACTGTTCATCCTCTCCTCGGTGGAAGAGGCGATGTGTGTAGACATAACCTGAGTAGGCTGCATTCATGGCTTCTTCGTGCTCGATGGAATGGAAATGTAGGTGATTGGGCAGTGTTCGGTTATGAATGGCCTCACCATGCTCTGCCTCGGCATTCTCTGTGTACTCCTCGGACTCAGGCCTATACTGCACTGCATATGCATTCTCATCCTCATTTTCCTGCACTCTCTCAATGTCATAACTGTCCTCCACTGTGGCTATCACATCCCCTTCTGCAGTATCTGTGTGGTTGTGGAAACCACTCTCAGTACTGGCTGACCGAGCTAACATGTTTTCCTCCTCCTGCCCAGACAGGCCCACGTGGCTGCTGCTGGTGTGCCTTGGGTAGCGAGCCGCATACCTCTGCTCCTCTTCCACCTCTGAGTGCTCCAGGTCAGCCTCCACTGACTCATTCACTGCTCCGTTTGCTGGCTCTTCACTGATCTCCCCCTCAGGTGGTCCAACCAAATGGTTCATGGCAAGTTTTGGAGAGTAGGTCACTTATTCTGCTGACATTTTGTCTATCACAGCTGGAAAGAAATAAAACAAAAAAAGACCTCTGACATTACTCCCAATAAAAAAGGTGAAGTTAATGAACAGAAGCAACAAAATGCACCCTTCCTTCCCAGCAGAGAAATATCTGACTCAGCTCTGCAGTCAGGTAATAGACAGAACAGTATGATCTCCCATGCAGCCAACAACACCACCCTTGGGGACAGCACTTCTCCCTTCCATGGACAAATTCTTTGTGGAAGTATTATTCCAAACAGCCCCTTTGAAGATGCATGTATGCGCTGCAGTGGCATTGCAATGATGCTAGCATATTAGAAAAGCTAATTTTTGCCAGGAGCTGAACCATGGCAGCAGTGACAGAAATATTTCACCATTGCTCCAGCACTCTCCCCACAAATCACTAACTCGGAGCAAAGGAGGGATGCTGCAATGTAAAACAGCAGGTTTAGTTCTGTCACAGGAGTCTGTAGTTGCTCAGGTACATGACAGCTATGCATTCTATACTTCTTCAGTATGACATCTTCAGGTGAGCTAGTCACATTATGCACTTTTAAAAAATCAGTAGAAATTAAAGTGTACCCTCAAGGTGCGGTATATCTGAAGCACCTGTTTCTTCTCCCTAGAGAAGCACACAACAGCTAGATACAACACAGTTATCTTTCTGGAATCTACCTATAATCAGTTAAGACAGCATCTTCCCTAAAACAGGGAGAAGACATTACTAATATTCATAACCATGACCACATTGAGATTAGCAGAGCATCTCAGCCTCGCGCTAACTTTGAGTAAAAAATATCAGAAGGTTACATGATTACAAGACAGGTCTGCCAATAATAAAAAGTATGCAGGGAACAGAACCAGGCCTATCTAGCTCATTAAGTTCCTTTATTCCTTTTAAGTTTTAAGCCTGTTTTGCCCTTCTCCCAATCTATATCTCACAGCAAGAAATGAGTAAGTACTCTGGTGATTTTAGCTAGCACTAAAACCCACCACATAAGGTTCTATATTTATAAAATGGCTTCAGCTATTTGGAACTTGTCTTATGTTTTAAAGATGCAGTGTCATAAACAGGACATGTAACGTCCTTTTAGCTACCTAAATCAAGCTATATATCCATAAATAAAATACAGCTCTAGCTTTTGACTTACTGATAAGTACTAAAAGAAAAGGTACCTATTGGAAGACTACTAACTTTAAGGATCTATAAAAGCATGTGTCAATTGCCAGTTAAAAAATTAATGTGCATATGAAACAGAACTCAGATCAAATCTAGTAAACTGAGGCAAGGAGGCTCAGGTGGCACTTTGCTGACTAAACGAGCTCTGTGCAGAAAAGCAGTGGGAATAACTGCCTGTGATGAGAAAGACACAGCAATTTCAGTTGCTCTCTATTAGGCAGGCAAGCCAAGGTGTGAGTCACTTGCACTGTATTTCCACAGGAAATCCAGAGGGTAGAGCTTCCAGCTCAGTGAACACTCCTTATTTTTGTTTTATCTAATGTTTTAGCCCTTTAAACACAGGAGTCCTTAAAAATAAAAATTACAGTTGTAAAGTAATAGCTAATAAATAGTATTAGGAGGACTTACAAGGATGTTGTACACAAACTAATCCCTTTTCATAATAACTATAAAAAAACTCGGTTTGTTTTTTTCCAGCTAAAGAAAGTGTGTCAATAAGGCTTCAGTGACAAGATAAGGTCTTTTCCAGTTAAGACTTCCAAAATATTAGGAAAGAATGGTCAGAACACAGGTGTAGCATGCACCAGAACTAATAAACCAAACACTATCCCCACACACAGCACAGAAGAAAGCAAGAACAATATTGGACAGTTTTCCACTTTTAGCCCACAAAAAGGGTGAGGATGCCAAGGCACAACACCTCTTTGAAAAATCCTTCTAAAGGAGGATTACAGCAGAGGAACACATTCAGTGCAGGTAGCTCGGTTTGCAGCCCGCAGTTTGAGCTGCAGATTGAGCTCTGGGTGGCAGGAGCCCCAGGCAAGAGGCCAGGAAGTGTCAACTCTCTGCGTAACACAGGACATGAAGATGCTGGCACCAGCCAGGTGGATGGACAGGATGGACACTGAGTCATGGTTGGAGCTAAAGACTCGGGAGGGAAAGTGAGACTTTGGCACACATGGACTGTAAGGGGATAAGAGCCTTAACGTTCCTTTGTTCAGGCTCCCTCCTTTGAGGCTCAGAGCTGTTTCTGTGTTACCACACCATGAATAAATGGCTCTATGGAAAGAGTCATCCAAGGTTCTGCTGTGGGAAACCTGGGATCAAAAAAAATCCCAAGCTTCTGCTGTGGGAAACCTGGGCCTGGGAGAATGTGTAGGAGTCAGGTGGGGACCCATCAGGTCACTGGAGTGGCCACCATAAAGGAGCTTTGGTCCCAGCAGTGACAGTCCCTAGGTAGGAGTGTGACTGTAAAGAGTCTTGTGAATGGTCAGGCTCGGAAGGTTCTTTAATAAGGCCTACTTTCATTGAAGTCAATTACAAAATTTCCACTCTTTTCCACATAGACAGAAGGCTAAGATAGAGGGCTGGTTAAAAAAATATACATTGAATTTATTTGTTTTAATTAGCCCCTGACTTGTGGCTCAGTGTCATTGGTCACCCTCACAAAAAGGATAGTGCCAGTCAACAGAAATGAAGTTACAGATAAACACAGGATAATGAACAACTTTCTGAAATTTTATCAAATGTATCCTGATACATCTTTAACTTAATCGTATTTTTAGAAAATAAGGCAAAAAAATCAGCTACATGAAGATTACTCAAGTCAAATAAGGTATCAAATGCCATCATTTTTAATAAAAGTACTGGTAATTGAAAATACGTTATCCTGTTTTAGAGGTCTTAATACATGTTTGCAACATAATGAGTTTTATGGACAGACAGCATCACTGACATGTCTTAGAGAGATTACAAAGCATACAAAATATGGCTAAAAACCACCTGGGAGTTACATCATTTTCCTCTGAAAAATTATAGCTTCCAAAGTTCCATGTGTAAAATTTTTCTCATTTAAAGAATTCTCTCCGCTTGATTTCAACTACTGATATCCCAAAACATTCAAGGTTGCATATTTTGAAGGGATGAGGAGTAAACATTAAGTTTACTAAAAGCCTTTTACTGAAAAACGTTCTTCTGTTTGCCTTTCCTCCTGTAAATTAAATTCATTTTTTTAATTCTGTAAACAAAAACTTATTGTTTATTTTGAAATCTAAAAAAGTTCTTTGTTGTTTCAAAGTAAGTTGACTTAGAAATCTGATCTGAATGAATGTCCTTAGGTCACGTCAGTCCCAGTAACCTTCAACAAAATATAAGCTTCTGAGTCAAGAACATTTATTTTACTGTTTAACAGTCAGTCTTTAGAATAGTGAATTAAAGAGCACTCATTAAGATTGGGGGTTAGAAGTTATTAGCTGGAAGACTACTAAACCCTGCTTATAATTTATTCTTAGCAGCACTTTCCTCATGAAAATACAAGGTCTGCCTGATCATTCCCACCAGACCTGCAAAAAGTACTTTATTTCCTACAAGCAAACAAAGATCAATAACCTACATAAAATGCCATAGACGGAAGAGAATATAAGCAAGAGAGGTTATCTGACCTTCGTAGCATAGACACAGCACCCATCTGAATGGTATTATAGTCTCATGTTAATTACCCAGAACAGCAGCTGTGCTCTGGTTATCAAAAATATTTGGGAAAGTGCTCTGTAAGCGCTCTTAGCTTTGCACACAGAACTTGATAGATGAATCTGTCTCCACAACAGAGAAATCAGAAGTTGATTACTACTGCAACTAACTCTTTGCTGAAGGATAAACTATATTCTGGTCTGTAAACAAGAAAAAATTTATACATCCATATATTTCTTAAGCAACATAAAGTTGGAAGTTTAAGAATTTTTCTCTACTACTTTAAAACACCATCAAAGGTCAGACTATCATCTTGGAGCACGACCACAACACATATGCCAAGTTCTACTCAGGAAAAGATACACAGTAAGAAAAGGTGAAAGTGTGAGTATTCGGATTCCAATTTGGTTTGTTATTTCTTACCCAAGTCTAGATGAATAATTGTTTGATTTCTTGTATACACAGGCAGAAAGGAAAAAATATTAAATATTATTATTAATAATAATATTATTATTTTAGTTTTTACTTTAATTTTAATTTACTTTCACTTTTAACTATTACTTTAAGAGTTTGTTTTGTTAGAGCATTATGCATCATATTTCCACAGTTTAATAAACTTGAATAAAAGCTCACACTCTTGATATGTCTTTATACTATAGTTACTGCCTCAAAGCTGTGTGCCACATGGAACCAAGACTACACACACACATTTTTCACTCACATCAAGGATAACAGATAACTCAGCAAGGGATCACAGGAGGTCTCCAGCCCAACCCTGCCCAAAGCACAGCCAGCTTTGAGCTAAGACCAGGTTTATCAGGGTCTTACCCACTTTAATAACCTCCAAGACTGGTGATAGCAACAGATTGTCTGGGCCCCAACGCCAGCACTGGACTGTCCTTGCAGGAAAAAATGTTTCCTCCTTATAGCCAGTTTCAATTTCCCCTGTTTCGGCATGTCTCAACTGTCTCTAACCTTCCCTCCCACCACATGCTACTGTGCCGAGCCTAGCTGCATCTCCCCCACCCCGTGGGCTGTTGACATGGAAGCCATCCCTCCTCCCAGCTGAAACAGCCCTGGTCCCCCAGTCTCTCCTGTGTCTCTTGTGACTTCCCATCATTTCCCACCAGTATCATCCCTGTATCAGGGACTCAAAAGGGAGGCAATACCCAGGTCAGTTCTGGCAGGCTCTGAGCAGACGGGATGGTTCTTATCCTATCCTGGGCTCTCAGGATCACATCACACTGCCCCAGGTGCTGCTGACCCTTATTCTGCTGCCTGGGCCTTGTCCCAGATCTGCTACTTGTCCCCACCAGACCCAGCCTGTATTATCATGAGGGGTATTTACATACATACATACATATTATTTTT